ATGTTGGCGTCGTACCACTGCGCCGCCATCACCGTCTCGATGCTATCCGCGATGAGGTCGCGCGACTGCAGGCTGTAGCTCATGCCGTCCGTGCCCATGGAGATGCCGTCGCTCACGCCGATCGTGTTGAACCGGAACCCCACCAGCCCCGCGTCCGTCACGCCGCCCTTCACGGCCTCCGCCAGCTCCAGCAGGTGCATGTTGCACGTGTTGCCCTCGTACCACACCGACGAGATCCCCACCTGCCGCCACACGCGGAAGGAGGGCGGGGCGGAAGCGGGTTGGGGGAGAGAAGGAGGGATAGGGGAGGGGATGTGGAGGTGATGAAGGGGAGGGGATGGGGAGGTGATGATGGTGATGGCGATGGGGCACAATGCGGATTCTTTAGGCCGACATTACAGTCGCGCAGAGGGCGTTGGGCGTTGGGTGGAGCATCGCCACTACAACAGCCTCTTTTCAAAGGTCAGAATTTTTACCGACGCTATCGAGTGGGGGACAAGCGGGGTTTTAGGCACGAGGCCATGAGCCACTCCGTTCCTTTATCTTTCTCGTCTCCTCCACCTCGTCGCTCTCCTCTAGCATCTCCTCCTCCTTCCCTTTGCCTCCGCGCGCCTCGCCCATGTCATCCTCCCAAAGCTCCCCCACACCCCTTCCTCCCCCCTCCTTCCGCCCACTCCCCCCCTTGCGCACCTGCGCCTTGTGCATGTCGGCCTCGGTGAGCCCCACGCCGTACAGCATCGCCTGCGACGCGCCCTGCGACTTGGGCTGCGTGATGCGCGAGCTCCATCGGTTCAGCGCCTTGGCCTCGCCGCCCGCCGCCGTCGCAGAGCTCTCCGTCTCCGCCGCGCCGCTCTCTGACCGCACGCCCAGCCCGCGCAATGCGGCGGTTCTGGCGCCGCGGCGAGGTCGAGTGACTCGCGTGGCGACGGGTTGAGCGGCGCGGAAGGCGCGCGAGCTGATCTCCTGCGCTGGCGCGGGGGAGAGCGCGGGGGCGCGCAGAGCGGACGCTCTGATGGTCTCCATCTGGACGTCGATGGAGCGGTGCGCGCGGATTAGGGGATGACGCAACCTTCACTCGGTTTGCGGAGTTAGAGAGGCGCGCCAAGGAAAGGGGGAGAGAGTCAGAGAGGAAAATGAGACCAGTCGAAGGCGAAAGCCAAGGAAAGGCCACTTCGAATGTGTGGAATTGTGAATGGAAATCAAGCAACATTTATAGGGGGAGTACCAGGCGGAGGATAGAATATCACTGGTGCTACCGAGACGCCCTTTTAGCGAGGTTCACTTCGCCCCCAGGTTGGCAATTTCTGCAACGTCGGATCTATCAGGACCGTATACAGCCGTCGATCTCGGAGATATTCACAACTGACGTCATTGAACGTGCTGACGAATGCCAGAATTGGGCCAATGCAGGCTTCGCCTAAACTAATCGGAAAGGGGTCTAGCCTAAAGCCGGATATCGCGGATAGATTCGATTGGAAAGCCTAGAAAATGACTACAGCTCAAATAGAAGACTAGGCTGGTGGTGATTGGGAAAATGGGGAAATACGGGAACTAAACAGAAGAAATGAAACCTTGTGAAAGTAACTTATCGGAAAGGGTGCTAGTTGCAACGCCATCAGATTCTGTCAAACACATATCAGGATCACAACTCAGAACTAACATTGCGGAGCAATATCATCAGTGACCAAGAGCCACTAAGGGCATGATCCTACGGCCACACCTCGTATCAGCTTCGCATTTATACCTGGTAAAATTGCGAAGATTTTTGAGTTTATGGAAATTTCAGTGTGTTGTGATGCGAGCCTGATAGTAAGAGGTTGGCCTGATAAGGGGCCGTAGGAACATGTCCTATTGTTGCCATCATGTTAATTGCCCATCTTCCTCTGCCTGCCTCTGCAGGTACAGGAAGGGGTGGTGGTGGGAAGGTGTGCATATAGGCCTACTGGTGCTGCCGAGGGTTTATGAGTCCACAGCCTAGTCCCTTCTATGCTACCTAGCCTCTCCACTTCTCCTGCTCTCACCTGCACCTCCCACCCCAACCTGTTGCCTTAGCTGACACACAAGCAGTGATGCCATGGAGGTGTTGCTGAGCCCAGATGAGGATGTGGGGGCTGCCTGGTGATCGTTGACAAGACGTGGAGCCTCGAATAACCAGACGAGAAGCTGGACCGCAAGCCAAAAGGTACCCTAGCAAAGCCTGAACACACAGAACGAATCGTTTCTTCCTAAGCATACAAATCGATGCCCCAAAAGGGAGCCGGGTTGTTGCTCCTAGCCTTTGCGTCAAGGCCCTCCATCCGGGCCATGTCGCCAGCATCGAGCTCAAAGTCAAAGATGGCTATGTTCTCTGCCAGGCGCTCCACTCGGTTGGACTTGGGTATCACCACCGTGTTGCGCTGCACTCCCCACCGCAACACCACCTGCGCCGCTGTCTTGTTGTGCTTTGCAGCCAGCTCCTGAGCACGAAATCACATCACACACATAGGAAAGGCCAAGCAGCAGATAAGCGCAGAGCAGCAGGAGTAGAACATGATAGAGACATTCTCAAATCAGAAGCACATTCAGAACGAAGCTGCAGCAGGAAAGGCATGAAGCAAGAATGGGTGAGAGGGAGCGCACGAGCACAACGGGGTCGGAGAGCGGGGACTTGGACTTGAAGAGCTCCTCGTTGGCAGCGCCGCCGCCCAGGGGCGTGTGGGCAGTGAGGGTGACGCCGTGCTTGGAGCAGAAGCGCAGCAGCGAGGCGCGCTGGAAGTAGGGGTGCGTCTCCACCTGGTTCACTGCTGGCCTCACTGCGCTGCTGTACGCCAGACAGTCGCGCGTCAGATACACGTCGTAGTTGCTGTGGGAGGAGTCACATGGGGGCGGGGAAGGTGGGGTTGTGAGTGACGGAAAGGCAGGGGTTCAAGGGGCGGGGGGCGGGGTGTTGTTGAAGGGAGAAGTAAGCAGTGTGAGGCAGAGAGATGAGGCTTAGAAGCAGTGCGGGGGAGTGGAAAACTAAGGGCGAGCTATGAAAACATCCCTTCGATTCTATCCATGTCATGCACCACCGTGCCGTGCCGACTGGAGCTCGGGACTGGAGCTCTGGACTGGAGCTCTGGACTGGAGCTCGGGACTGGAGCTCGGGACTGGAGCTCTGGACTGGAGCTCTGGACTGGAGCTCTGGACTGGAGCGCACCTGATGCCGATGGAGCGCACCTGATGCCGATGGAGCGCACCTGATGCCGATGGAGCGCACCTGATGCCGATGGAGCGCACCTGATGCCGATGGAGCGCACCTGATGCCGATGGAGCGCACCTGATGCCGATGGAGCGCACCTGATGCCGATGGAGCGCACCTGATGCCGATGGAGCGCACCTGATGCCGATGGAGCGCACCTGATGCCGATGGAGCGCACCTGATGCCGATGGAGCGCACCTGATGCCGATGGAGCGCACCTGATGCCGATGGAGCGCACCTGATGCCGATGGAGCGCACCTGATGCCGATGGAGCGCACCTGATGCCGATGGAGCGCACCTGATGCCGATGGAGCGCACGAGGCCGTCCTTAACGAGCGCCTCCATGTGGCGCCACACCTCATGCAGCGGCACTGAGATGTCTATGTCCAACACGCCATCCTCCCCCATCGCACTGCGCGTGCTGCCTATCCCTGCCATGCCATCACATGCCATGCCATGCCGTTCCATGCGATTCCATGCCACCCACGTACAGATGCAAGAGATTGAGAGCAGGGCCATGGTTGGGTTGCAGCAAGCCGCACTCACTCCTGGACTCCCCCGTCCTCTCACTCGCACAGCTCTTTACCCTCACACACTGCCGCCCTCTCCGTCTTCCCTTCTCCATCCCGCTCCCCGCTGCCCTTCCGCCTCTTAAACTCTCCCTCCCTCTCCTGCTCCCATGACCCGCCCCAGCTCTGCCCACAACGCGCCTCAACAATTCACGCTCGCGTGCGCGGGGCAACAGACGAACCGGTGTGCTTGGTGGCGATGGGGAAGTGCACGAGGTACAGGTCCATGTAGTCCAGGCGCAGGTCTTTCAGGGACTGCTGGCACGCCTCCCTCACGTGCGCGTGGTCGCTGTTCCACAGCTTGCTCGTCACAAACAGCTCCTCGCGCTTTACCGCGCCTGCCTCCAGCACCGCGGATAGCGCCTCCCCCACCTCCGCCTCGTTGCCGTAGTCCGCTGGCGCGGGGGGAAGGGGGAGGGAAGGGGATGGGGAGGGGAAGGGGAAGCATAGGCAAGGTAAGGGGTAAGGAAGAAGGGGCGGCTTGAGACTGGGATTGATTCAAGCACAAGGACTGTAGCGCGCTGAGCCCACTGTGGCGCACTGAGCCCGGCTGTAGCGCCCTATCCTCGCGCAATAAGTTCCCCCGTGCAGCGCGGCATGCACGCACCCGCGCAGTCGAAGTGGCGGTACCCGAGTGCAACGGCGTCCTTGATAAGCGCGCCGAGCCGGCCCTTGTCGGCGCGCCACACGCCCATCCCCACCACCGGCATGTCGTAGCCGCTCGACAGACGGATTGCCGGCACCGATGCCGGCGCTGCGGTCGCCATGAGTCGCACTGGTCGCCGGCGACGCGTGGACGACGGAGGAGCGACGATTGCTCTCCGGAAGGAAGCGCAACGGGAGGCTGTGGAGGCGAGAGGGGGAACCTGCGGTGCGAGTGCGCGAGGAGGCGAAAGCGACTTGGTGGGGAAGCAGAGCATGTGGAATTGCGCAAGGTGGACGGTGGTGAGTCTAGGGATTGGGGTGGATGATGTTGTGCGAGGGGCGACTTGGTGGAACGGATCTTCAGGAAATTCGAATCTGAAAGGGCGAGTTTGTCCCTTGTTCGTACTCGATACAAAAGTTCCCGCTGTACACCCACAATTTTACAGTGAACATTGTTGGTACCAAATGCGTGCAAAATCACCAACCCTTCAAATTGGCTTCCCATCACATTCCCCCCCACTCACAAACAGCGACAGTGGGATTGCCTCCTTTCCTCGTGACGTGCCATGGTGCTATTGTTTCGCTTGCAGCTTCTCGCGCCGCCCCCCCGTTCTCTCGCCATTCGCGAGGAGCTCCTCTTTCGCCTCCACTCAGCGTGGCACACGTGCCATCGCCCAGTCAGCTTCCCCAACCACCATCAGCAGCACACGTGGCACCATCCTAGTAGATACGTCAACCCATCAACCATGCCGCCTGTTCTTCATCTTGCGCCCGTTGCCGCCGCGAGGCTTCCATTCACGCTCCGCGCATCGCTTTCGTCTGCGCCGCGCTCCCCCATTCCTCCGGCCGATCTCCGCCTCGCAATCCTCCCACCCGCAGCTCTCCGCAGTTTCTCTTCCGCGCCTCCGCGCCCTGTTCTCGCAGAGGGGCATGCCGCGGAAGGCAGACGGAGTCGAAAAGTAGAAATTTTGAGGGCGGGGGCAGATGGAGGGGCGTTGGCGGTGAGCGGAGGTGCGGAGGCAGCGGGGGACGAAGTAGGGAAGGGGGAGAGAGGGGGAGAGGAGGTGGGTCGAGGGGAAGCGCGAGGAGACCCGCCAGTCCTCGCGGAAGCAGCAGCATTGCGCCAAGGCGGCGATGCTGGCGCGGATATAGCCGCGGAGGCGGAGGTGGGGCGGAGCCACGGCGGCGGAACGGGAGGCGGAAAGGGCGGGGCGCGGAGGCGCGGGAAACGGGTGCGGCTGGACGAGCTGTGTGTGGCGCGGTGGGCGCAGTACAGCCGCAGCCAAGTGCGCTCGTGGATCCTGCAAGGTGCGCTCGTGGATCCTGCAAGGTGCGCTCGTGGATCCTGCAAGGTGCGCTCCTGGATCCTGCAAGGTGCGCTCCTGCATCCTGCAAGTTGGGGGGCAAAAGTCCATTCATTGCGCATTCCTCAGTAGTTTCTCCCACAGTCCCCTCCCACAGCCCCATCCCACAGTCCCCTCCCACAGTCCCATCCCACAGTCCCATCCCTGTATCCCGGTTTCCCGGTTTCCTGGTATCCCGGTATCCCGGTTTCCCGGTTTCCCGGTTTCCCGGTATCCCGGTTTCCCGGTTTCCCGGTTTCCCGGTTTCCCTGTTTCCCGGTTTCCCGGTTTCCCGGTTTCCCGGTGTCCCGGTGTCCCGGTGTCCCGGTGTCCCGGTGTCCCGGTGTCCCGGTGTCCCGGTGTCCCGGTATCCCGGTATCCCGGTATCCCGGTATCCCGGTCTCCCGGTCTCCCGGTCTCCCGGTCTCCCGGTCTCCCGGTTTCCCGGTTTCCCGGTTTCCCGGTTTCCCGGTTTCCCGGTATCCCGGTATCCCGGTTTCCCGGTTTCCCGGTTTCCCGGTTTCCCGGTTTCCCGGTTTCCAGGTATCCCGGTATCCCGGTTTCCCGGTTTCCCGGTTTCCCGGTTTCCCGGTATCCCGGTTTCCCGGTTTCCCGGTTTCCCGGTTTCCCGGTTTCCCGGTTTCCCGGTTTCCCGGTATCCCGGTATCCCGGTATCCCGGTATCCCGGTATCCCGGTTTCCCGGTTTCCCGGTTTCCCGGTTTCCCGGTTTCCCGGTTTCCCGGTTTCCCGGTTTCCCGGTTTCCCGGTTTCCCGGTTTCCCGGTATCCCGGTATCCCGGTATCCCGGTTTCCCGGTTTCCCGGTTTCCCGGTTTCCAGGTTTCCCGGTATCCCGGTATCCCGGTTTCCCGGTTTCCCGCTTTCCCGCTTTCCCGGTATCCCGGTATCCCGGTTTCCCGGTTTCCCGGTTTCCCGGTTTCCCGGTTTCCCGGTTTCCCGGTTTCCCGGTATCCCGGTATCCCGGTATCCCGATATCCCGGTATCCCGGTATCCCGGTATCCCGGTTTCCCGGTTTCCCGGTTTCCCGGTTTCCCGGTTTCCCGGTTTCCCGGTTTCCCGGTTTCCCGGTTTCCCGGTTTCCCGGTTTCCCGGTATCCCGGTATCCCGGTATCCCGGTTTCCCGGTTTCCCGGTTTCCCGGTTTCCAGGTTTCCCGGTATCCCGGTATCCCGGTTTCCCGGTTTCCCGCTTTCCCGCTTTCCCGGTATCCCGGTATCCCGGTTTCCCGGTTTCCCGGTTTCCCGGTTTCCCGGTTTCCCGGTTTCCCGGTATCCCGGTATCCCGGTATCCCGGTATCCCGGTATCCCGGTTTCCCGGTTTCCCGGTTTCCCGGTTTCCCGGTTTCCCGGTTTCCCGGTTTCCCGGTTTCCCGGTTTCCCGGTATCCCGGTATCCCGGTATCCCGGTTTCCCGGTTTCCCGGTTTCCCGGTTTCCAGGTTTCCCGGTATCCCGGTATCCCGGTTTCCCGGTTTCCCGGTTTCCCGGTTTCCCGGTATCCCGGTATCCCGGTTTCCCGGTTTCCCGGTTTCCCGGTTTCCCGGTTTCCCGGTTTCCCGGTATCCCGGTATCCCGGTTTCCCGGTTTCCCGGTATCCCGGTATCCCGGTTTCCCGGTTTCCCTGTTTCCTGGTTTCCCGGTATCCCGGTTTCTCGGTTTCTTTGCAAGTTGGGGGGCAAAGGTCCATTCATTGTGCATTTCTCCGTAGTTTCTCCCCCAGTCCCCTCCCACAGTCCCATCCCACAGTCCCCTCCCTCAGTCCCCTCCCACAGTCCCATCCCTCAGTCCCCTCCCACAGTCCCCTCCCACAGTCCCCTTTCTTTCACAACCGCCCCCTCCCTTGCTCCCGTTTCTCGGCCTCGTCTCTTCCCTACAACGCTCCCTTCTCCCCCTCCCCCCCTTCCCCCGCCAGGCAAGGTGTTGGTGGAGGGGCATCCAGTCACCAAGGCGGGCGCGCAGGTTTCAGAGCACGCTGACGTCATCATCAAGGCCCGCGTGCCCAAATACGTGTGCAGGTCAGCCCAGCCCTCCCTCCCCCCCCACCTCTGCTGCCGCCACTCCGCTCTTTCTCCTTCCAACCGCACCACACCACTCCGCCAGCTTCACACCTTCATGCCTTGCAGCGTTCCACGCTCACTGTGCAGGCAGCACCTTGTAACTCAACTGCAGCGCACTCCATTCCCTTGAAAGCGCTCCCTCATATCCCCTCTCCCCATCTCTCCTTTCCCCACCCAACCTTCTTCTCGTCCCCTCCCCCCAGGGCGGGGTACAAGTTGGAGGGCGCGCTGCAGCAGTGGGGGGTGGCGGTGGGGGGGGCGGTGGCGCTGGATGCGGGGCTGTCCACGGGGGGCTTCGCGGACTGCCTGCTGCAGCATGGTGCTGCCCGCGTGTACGGCGTCGATGTGGGGTACGGCCAGGTGGGGTGCGGCCAGGTGGGGTGCGGCCAGGTGGGGTGCGGCTGCGGAGATAACTACTACAACGGGAGCTAGACTACGGGCTAGGCACGGGTGCTCGTGTGATCTCTGCGTTCGTTGGTCCTTAGTCGTTTTCCTAGTGCACAGACTGCTTGCTAGTTCACGGGGCAAGTTGGCAAGAGTTTCACTAAAGAAGGTTGACAACAATAGTACAATGAAGTTGGCATGGCAAGACTACATCAGAGCTAGCATTCAGGTCGGTCGACTGTCAGCACAGCATGGTCGACCGAGTTCCAGCACGACTTGGTCGACCGCGCTCCAGCGGTGCAAAGTCGACGGCGTGCCAACGCTGCAGGTTGACGGCGTGCCAGCGTTGCTCCCGCAGAACAGCAGCGCACCTACTTCGCAGGTGCTCGCAGATGATTGGCGGGCTAAGCCTTGTCACCTGCACAACGCACACACCGTGTCATCCTCGTGCTGACGACTCCACCTGATCCGCCACGTCGACCTCGGGATACCACCACCGAGGTCAGTCTCGCCAACATCGCCTGGGCGACCGTCGCACTCTTTCGCAGAACCTCGTCACCCAGGTAACCTGGTCGACCGGGCAACCACGTCGACCAGGTGCTCCTGTATGTGCCCGTCGACCTCCCAAGTCGACGGCCACCTCCAGGCGACCTTACCAGGTCGACCACACCCCTGGTCGACCAGCTCCAGGTCGACGTCACTCCTGGTCGACCAGCTCCACGTCGACCAGCACAATCGTCAGCCGACCACCCAAGTCGGTTACCCGAAGTCGGCGTCACCAAGTCGACGCCCTCCGCAGGTCGACTTCCCAGGTCGACCTCCCTGAAGTCGGCGCCAACTTCTGGGCCGACCTCTCCAAGTCGGCGACCTCCCAAGTCGGCGACCTCCCAAGTCGGCGACCTCCCAAGTCGGCGACCTCCCAAGTCGGCGACCTCCCAAGTCGGCGACCTTGCAAGTCGGTGACCTTGCAAGTCGGTGACCTTGCAAGTCGGTGACCTTGCAAGTCGGTGACCTTGCAAGTCGGCGCCGACTTCCAGGTCGACGTGCCACATCGCCGACCACCAGTTGAAGTCGGCCGCCGACTTCCCAAGTCGGCGGCATTGCAGTGGCCCCGTGCAAGTCGACCAACCCCGTCGACCACTGCTACAAGTCGGCTGTACCTCCCGTACACCCAACCACGAAGTCGGCTCCGCCCAAGCGAGGACGGGGACAACGACAACTCCCGTTGACAGCGGCCAGGTGGGGTGCGGCCAGGTGGGGTGCGGCCAGGTGGGGTGCGGCCAGGTGGGGTGCGACCAGGTGGGGTGCGGCCAGGTGGGATGTGAGCGGGTGGGTTGTGGGCAGGTCGGTTGTGGGCAGGTGGAGTGATAGTGAGTGGATTTCACGCACCTCTACTTGTTGGCATTCGCTGCTTTGCCGTGCCCCACTCTCATGCATATTTGTGTCCGTGCATGCTCCTCGTGTGTGTGTGAGTGGGAATGAGCATGTGTGTGTGGATTCGTGGGTGTGAGAGTGTGTGATGTGAGTGTGCGGGGTGCATGATGGCAGGTGAGTGAGCGTATCCGAGTTGACCCACGGGTGGTGGTCATGGAGCGAACCAACCTGCGCCACCTGTCGCCCTCTGATTTGCCGGAGAAAGTGGACGTGGTTACCCTCGACCTCTCCTTCATCTCCGTCCTCCTCGTACGCCCCCTGCGCTCTGCGCTCTGCTCTCTGCACTCTGCGCTCTGCACTCTGCGCTCTGCTCTCTTCCCCATCCGCCACCACCCTCGTCCGCTCTTCCGTCTCCATCCTCTCCCATGCCGCCATGAATGCAACTCCTGGTTTGCCTCCCTGCTCAGTGCTCATCCCGACATTACTCGTCAGCATCCTCACATCCCCCCACGCCACCATGCATCCCCCCCACCCTCTCACGCCCATGCATCCCCATCCACCCCATCCACCTGCCGTGTCCCACATTGCATGGCAGGTGATGCCAGCGGTGGTGGGGGTGATGAAGCCGGGGGCGCACCTCATAGTGCTTGTCAAGCCGCAGTTTGAGGCGCGGCGAGGGCAGGTGGGCGGAGGGGGCATCGTGCGCAGCGAGGCCGTGCGGCAGGAGGTGCGTGCAGCCCCAGCCCTTGCCGCAGCAGCCTCAGCACCGGCCTCAGCGCTCCGCATGTGCTCCTCATCACACCGCCTTCATGCCTGCCATGCCATGTGTTGACTCCAGAATGTTTGATGTGCTCCTCTTTTCCACTTTAGTTCTGCCCTCTTTTCCCTTTGTGTTTCGGTGTTGTTTTGTGCATGTTGATGTTTGCAGGTGCTTGAAAGAGTGACGCGCGGTATAGAGGAGTTTGGAATGGAGGTGCAGGGGGTGATGACGTCACCGATAACGGGCACGGATGGCAACGTGGAGTTCCTGGCCCACTTCGTGCGACGGCCTGTGGCAGCACCTCAAGAGGTGGTTCCGCCAGGCGACTCAGAGGACCTTCCTTGAAACCCTCTCTGCAACTTTGTATGACAGGATGTAACTACAGCGTGCATCAGCATTTTGCTACTCACTGTAAGAGTGTGCCAAAGCGGCTCGTAAAATATTAGTGGCAGACGTGTAACAGGTGGAGCAGCCAAGTGTAAGCGACAGCTTGTCTTTCATGGGGACAGTCACTCCCTCCTTGCAAACAGCTCATCAAGGGCCCCCTCCCCCCGCCCTCCAGCACATGCATCTCCACTTGTATACGGTAGTCCTACCTAGCAGACCCTTGCGTAGCAGTACTCATATGCACTATGTGTCCTGCTAACTAGTTAGCTTTGCACCAACATTGTTATTTTGGAGCGCTGTTGCAGTGAACATATATTAAGAGTGCAATACCCTTACATTAAAATGATTAAACAAGATAATAATTAACAGTGTCAAAGCACACATCCTATATTAGCCTAAGATAGGTAGCCTGCAAATGGTACACCAGCACAGGCAACCTTTTCATTCCTGTCAACGAATTAGACACACACACCCATTCAGGCCTGCACTCATCATCCTTGCCATCTCCAATGCTCCCTATCACATCCCAACCCATTTCATCATCTCATCGCATCATTCAGGCTTGCTGAATCTGCTTGGCCTCACCCTCGCCCATGTCAACGTTGGCCTCTGTGGGGGGCAGGCCAGCAGCAGTGGCGCCAAAGGCGGGGGCGCTGCGCTGCTCGGAGCGCTCCTTGTGAGGGCTGTACGGGTGGAAGCGGTGAGCGCTCTGCTGCTTGTGCTCGTACTGCCGCGCCCGGTGCCGGTCGCTGTGCTTGCCTGCCCCGTCACCACCCACACTGCGCATTAACCGCTCCGTGATATCACCGGGCCCTTGCTCTCTGCACTGCCGCTCCATGCCCGCAACACTCTCCGTGTTCCATGGGTGCCGTGCGTCAGCCTGTGGACGTGCAGCAGAGGAAAGGAATAGCAGAGGAGAGAGGGGAAAAGAGAGATGAGTGGAAAGGGAGAATGTGAGGGGCATGGGAGGTGAGAGAAGGGAACAATAGAGAGGGGCGGCAGAGAATGAAGGGGAGGGGGCACATGGAGCACACCTGCAGCAAGGCAGCTGTCTTTCTCTCCTCATCAGCCATCGCATTGTCCTCGCCACCACCGCTCTCCCCACCCCTTCCTCCACCCGCCCCCTCCTTCCCCTCCCCCTCCCCACCGTCACTGCTCTCCCCCTTGCTGCACTGCACCATCCCCCCATACCCCTCCCCACCCTCTCCAGACCTCAGGCTCGGGGTTTCCGGGCCTGAGGGAGCGCTAAGGGCGGCAGGAGGGGCAGCAGCAGAGGCAACGGCTTCAACCTTAGCAGCAGCTGCGATGGCAGCAGCAGCGGCGGCGGCAGTAGTGGTGGGTTGCTTGGTGGAAGAGGAGGGCCGGTGCTTAGCGCTGCTGCCAGCGCTGTGGTAGTGGTAGTGGAAGTGGTGGTGCACTCCCGCTCCCCCACTGTTGCTGGACGATGGGTCACCCGTGGGGGATGACGGCATGGGCAGAGATGGACCCACGATGCGCATGCCTGCTAGCAGCGACGCCGCGCCGCTGCTGCTCGCCGGCTGCTGCTGCTGGTGTTGGTGTTGGTGCTGGTGCACATGCTGCTGCTTCCTGTCAGTCATCCACTCCTCTCCCTCCCTACTCTCGTCCCTCCCATGCTTGCGACTCTCCTGTCGCACCGCCTCCCCACCACTCGATGCCCGCTTCTCCTTGCCTCTCCGCTGCTGTCTCATCTCGCCCTGCTCCTTCTGCCCTCCCACCTCCGCTTCCACTCTCACCACCGCACGTGCCTCCTCTCCCTCCTGACCCTTCACGGCCTCACCACCACCATCATCACCGCCACCGCCACCAGCGGCAACGCCAGCAGCAGCAGCAACCAACTGAGGGCCTTCCCCCTGCGCGACCCCACACGCACGTGGGGCCACAGGTTTGGAGGGGGGAGGGGGGAGGAGGCGAGGAGGGGCATGTGGGGGCGTCACCTTGGGGGGGAGGATGGGCAGCGGTCGAAAGACGGACTGGCCGTCGCCTCTCAGCTCGCGGCGCCCGGCGCCCACCACTTGAGACGTTTCCGTGCGCCCAGGCCGAGCAGCACTGCCTCTCGCTTCATTCGCTGACCCCTCCTCGCCCTCCTCGCCCTTGCGCGCACCACCACTCACTCCTCTGACCACCCCAATGCGCTTCTTCCCCAGCAGCTGCAGTTGCTCCAGCCCGTCAGCAGTGTTGGTGTCGCCGCCGCCCTCCTTGTGCTGCTGGCCCTCGGCACGCGTGCCTGCATGGCGGGCGTCCAGCCCCAGCAGCAGGGCGTGCGGGGTGGAGAGGCTGAGGGGCGTGTGTGACCTGCTGCCTGCAGTGGGTGCACTGCTGCCCTGAGGTGCCCCGCCCACCACTCGCGAGCACCCCTCCTCGCCTGCACCCGCTGCCACCACCTTCCTCCGCTTGGCGCTCCTCTCCTCAACCGCAACACCTCGCTCCATCTCATTCGCCTTCCCCTCCTCCGCGACTCTCTCCGCCTCCATGGCTTGCCCACCAGCACCTGCCTCTTCATTGTTCTCGTCTTCCTTCTCCTCCTCCTCCTCGCCACGTTCCGCATTCACCTCCTGCTCCTTCCCCTCCACGTCCTTCCCATCACTCTCCCCGCCAGCCTCACCGCCAGGGAGTCGTTTCACGGCGCTCTTGGCAGTGGCACCCTCCTCAGACACGTCTCGCTCGCGCCGCTTGCACGCCTCGCGCTCGCTCGTGCCGCCGTCACTGGACCCGCCCAGCCGCTCCCTGCCCGCCTCGTTGCCGCACTCAGACGAGTTGGAGCTAGGCCCATTCTCCCCTGAGCCCTCGGGCCCGCCCCCACCCTCGTGCTTGGTGCCGCTGCCACTGCCCCCGCCGTTGCCGTTCTGCCCGCGACTGCCTGAAGACGATGGGGTGGCGCGCACCTCGCCTTGCTGCTCTGCTCCCTCTCCCGCCGCTGCTGCCTCCCCTGCACCACCTTCGGCCGGCACAGGCGTGTCTCCGGAGGGCAGAGTTTGTCTCGTAGTGGGAGGCGGTGTGTTGCTGCCACTGACCGAGTGTCCGCGCAGGCGCTTTCTCCGCGGCCCCTCGTTTTCCCCCGCCATTTCCACGCCCTCCTTCCCTCCTGCTCCCTCGCCTCCCCCTGCTTTCGTCCCATCGCCTTCCACACCAGCAACTCTCCCCTCTCCTCCTCCGCCCAGCCCCTCAGTGGCCCCCTCGTTCCCTTCCCCGCCACTGCCCTCCCCTCCGCCCGAGCCCGCTCCTTCTCCGCCCATGCCGGGCCCGCACGCGCTCATTTTCGCGCTCGCTTCGTCAGCCGCCGCAGTCGCAGCGCCAGTGGCGCTGGCGGCGGCAGTGGCGGAGGTGAGGGCAGCGGTGGCGTGGCGGACTTTGAACTTCTCGAGCGAGCGCAGCTTGCGGATCAGGTTCGACTGCTCCCTCTTGTCCGCCGCCGCCGCGCCCGCTGCTGCTGCCGCCGCTGCGCCACTCGCGTTGAGCCCTCTGCGCTCCGCATGAGCTTGCCCATGCCCGTGGCCATGGTTGTGCGCCGGTGCGTGTGCATGCTCGTGCGCCTGTGCATGTCCCGTGCGCCCTCTCTCACGGGGCAGTCTCCATTTCTCCTGCTTCGAGACAGCAGCGGCAGCACCAGCACCGGCCACGGCAGTGGCAGCATTCACAGCAGCGCCGCCAGCACCACCGCCAGGACGCTTGTCCGTGGGACTGGCAGGCAAGCCGAAAGGCCTAGGAATGCCTGCAGCAGCAGCGGCGGCAGCACTAGGGGGGCTGCGTGGGAGCTGGGGAGTGGAGTAGCGGGCGTTGTTGCCTCGCTGCTGCTCGTCCGCTGCCAACACCACGCCATGTGCGCCATTCTGCACGTCGCTCGCCCTCCTCTGCGCCTCCTTTTGAGGCGTGTGCCCGTGCCCACCGTGGCCGCTGGCGGTGTGCCTGGGTGCGTGCGCGTGGGCGTGGTGGGGCGGGGTGGAGTTAGAGGCCCACACGGAGGGCGACGAGTCGGTGCACGGGCCCATGCCGCCATCGCCGGGACTCCTCCCCTGCCCGCCCTCGCTGCCGCCTGCCCCGCCCCTCTGCTGCCCCCCGTGCTGCTGCGACCGGTGCCCGTGCGCGAGCGGCCGCGCATCCCCTGCACTCCGCGCCTTGCCCGCCTCCCTCTCCGCCTGCGCGTCCCCCTGCCCCTGCCCGTGCCACGATGCCCGCCTGCCGCCCTGCTCCGCGCCCATGCTCGAGTCCAGCGCCTTGCTGGCTCCTGTCGGCGCCGACGACCCCACCACCGTCTGCTGTGACTCCTGAACGTCCACGTCAGCATCCACATCAGCATCCACGTCAGCGTTGACGCCTTGCAGCATGGCGGCGAGCGCCTCTCGCTCGCTGGCCATGAGGCGCAGCGCTTCCTGCCCCTCCACCTCGCTGCTCCTCACCAGCGCCACAAACCCCCCCTCTTCTTCCCCCTCGCCCGCCTCTCCGCCCACCTCCTCCTCCTCTTCCTCTTCCTCCTCCTCGTCCGCACGCGCATCGTCGCCGTCGTTGTCGCCGAGGGCGTCGTCGCCGCCCTGGCTCTGCGACGCGCTGTACGCGGTGTCGTTCGCCTCCGCCTTGCCCTGCGCGCCCTCGGGAATCGCCTTGCCCGACGACCCCTCGCCGCCGTCATCACCCGTCTCCACCGCTCCCCCCATTTCACACTGCTGCTGCTCTTGCTCCTGCAGCTGCTGTTGCTGTTGCGCGGGTGCTGCAAATGTGGCATTGGCAAAGCCCGCCTCTGCAGCGCCAGCAGCACCACCAGGACCACCGCCAGCCGCACCTGCCGCGTCCGTCCCCGCGCCTTCACCGTTCCCTCCTGCCTCCCCCTCCCCTGCACCCGGCCACCCAATCTGCATCGCAGCGGCGGCCGCGGCGCCAGCAGGGAGAGGGGGAGCGCTGTTGAATGGAGGGCGGAAGGCCTGCGCGGGCGACATGGGGAGGAAGACGCCGGGCGGCATGGAGCCCTGCAGCGCCCACCATGCGGACGCCGCAGCCATGGTCACGGCCATGGCGGCTGCTGCGGGGTCGTCGCCCGCGGACAGCGTGCGCGGGGGCGCTGGCGGCGATGAGAGTTGCGCATCCACGGGGGCGCCATTGGCGGCGACCGCGCCAGCAGCAGCAGCAGCGCTCGTTCCAGCGGCAGCGCTGCCGGCAGCAGGTGTTGTTGCAGGTGCAGCTGCGGTGGCGAACCGTGGAGGCCCAGCGACAGGAGCTGCAACTGCGCCTGCCGCGCCTGCCTCAATGGCCTTGGCAGGGCTGCCCGCTCCACCTGCTGCTGCCGGAGCTGGGAGGAACGGCGCCAGGCCTGCTGCCATGCCGGGCAGATTGGGCCACAGACCAGCGGATGCAGCAGCTGTGGCGGCAGCCGCAGCACTGTGAGTACCGGATAACAGCTGCGGATGGCCCGTTTGCTGCTGTTGTTGTTGCTGCTGCTGCTGTTGCTGTTGCTGCTGTTGCTGCTGCGGGCGCGGGGCGTGCCAGGCGGCGAAGGAGGAGGCGCCCATGGAGGCGAAGGCGGGACCATAGATACGAAGGTACGAATCGAACGTCTGGAACGCCGCCGCCGAGTGCGGGTGTGGCACGGGCGCGCGGTAGGGCGAGAGCAGGTAGCCCGGGTGGTGCATGGGGTGGAAGCCGGGCGTGTGGAAGTCCACGAAGGGGAAGGGCGTCGGGAACAGCATCTGCTGCTGCTGCACCGCCTCCTCGCTCCCCGGCAGGAAACAACCGGGAAACTGCAGGCCCATTGCGGCAGCTGCGGCCATCTGAGCCGACGCGGCTGCTTCCTGGAAAGTGGTGGAGCCACGCGCTGACGCAGCTGCTGCAGCGGCAGCGGCAGCGGCAGCGGCACCATAGTCGAAGGGGGGGCGATGGGGAGCGGCGGCAGTGTTGGCGCCGGCTGCGGAGGCGGCGGCGGCGGCAGCAGCAGCGTTGAGCATGGAGAGGCCGGCCATGGATGACATGAGGGAGGGCGACCACTGCGACGCCATGTGCACGCCCGACGCGGACGCCACGTGCGTGGGACTCGCCACACCACCCTCCACCGCACCCACGCCTGCCCCTTCATTCGCCTCGCTCGCTGCCGCTTCCCCCTCTCCTCGTCCTGCCTCCGCTCCAGCCTCTACGGGAATGGCCGCTTTCTCGAGCTCCGGCGGACTGAGCCCCGCAATGGCAACCGTGCCTGCTGCGGCTGTGGCTGCTGCTGCGTTGGGCGCGGCAGGGGCGGCAGGAAACGCGAACAGCTGGTTCATGTACGGCGCCTGTGCCACGCTCAGGCTCGCTCCCGTGCCTGCGTCAGCACCCGTGGCTGCTCCCGCGCGCATTGCATCGCCGCCCTGCGCGTGGCCGTAGGCGCCAGCAGCAGAGCCGGGAGCAGCGCGCGCAGCATCGCGCGGACCGCCCAGAGTCATCGGGTGCGCGCCTGCTGCCGCTGGCGGTGCTGCTCCGCCGCGGTCCGCCCGCTGCGGCGCGGGCGGGGGCAGCGGCGTGGCGGCGGGGAGGGGCTCGACGGAGAGGCCCGACTCGAGCACCACGGAGCGCTCAGAGAAGCTGCCGCACGCTGACGTGGACACGTCGTGCCCCGTCACGCTCAACGACCGCATCGCGCGCTGCGCTACCGCTATGCCCCGCTGCTCCGCGCGGCCTCGTGCGCCTGCCTCCGCCATCCGCTCGCCGTGCGCCGCTGGCGCGGCGTGCGGCCTTTCTGAGAGGCACAGCCCCTGCGACTCCTCCGCGAGGCCGGCGGCACTTCGCGGCTCTGGAAGCGACAACGACCGCGTCACCATGGGCGGTCCTTCGTCCGCCTCCTCCTCCTCCTCCTCCTCCCCATCATACTCCTCCTCCTTCTCCTCCTCCTCCTCTTCTTCCTCCTCCTTGCACTCCGCCTTTTGTGCGTCGGTTGCGCCGCCTTCACCTGGCGAGTGCTTGAAGCGCCAGTGCTGCGCGCCAGAGGGCGGAGCAACATCCGGGGGGGGTGTTGCAAGGGAGAGCAGCGGCGGGTGGAGCGGCGGCGAGCGCGCAGGGCTGCCGTCGGGCGACATGGAGGCGGCAGCGGCACCGGACGCGCTGGCAAGAGGGTTGATGCTTCGGGGAGCGGAGGGAGGCAGGGGTGCGGACGGCACAGCTGGGGGTGGGGGAGGGGGTGGCATGGCGGGGGGAGTGGCGAGCGTCTTGCCGAACAGCTTCAGCGTGCTGCGCTGGTCCGGCGACTGCCGCGCGCCGCTGTTGCCCTCCGTTGGCGGCGACGAGTACGGCGACACGCACGCGTCGCCACGAGCAGCGTCGCGCTGAGAGGCGAGCGGCGAGGGGGAGGTGAAAACGGGCGGCTGCGCACAGGCCTCCGCCTTGGCGTTGCTGTGCGGTGCGGCAGCGGCGGCGGCGGCGGGGGGGGCGGAGAAGACGTACTTGGACTCCTGTCCGTCGTCGGCGCGCTGGTTGCCGCACGACTGGTCGGACGACACGGGCAGCGCCGATCGCGACGTCTGCGACTGCGTGCGCTGCGAGCTCAGCCCCTGCGACACCTGCCTGCTCGACCGCTGCTGCTGCGGCTCTGATTCCTCTGCCTCTGCGCGCTGCTGGGAGGTTGCCTGCCGGACCTTGTGTTTACCCTTCTCTCTCGCGACCGCCTGCTGCTGCGCTGCTGCCGCTTGGTTCGGCTGCACACGTTGCTTTGGTTGAGGCGGCGGCGGTGGCGGGTGTGGCAGCTGGAGCTGCTTCATGCAGGGGAGCAGAGCCTTAGGAGGGGGAGGAGGGGGGAGCAGAGCCGGAGCGGGCTGCTGCAGCGCCTTGGAGAGGCTGTGCTGGCTGTTCTGCCGCTGTGGCGCCTGCGGCTGGGAGCTGCTGGCGGAGCCCGCCTTCCGCGGGTACGGGTGCGCGGGCTTGCGCTTGGGGCGCGGCGGGGGGATCTCGATGTCCATCTGCGACGTGGCGGCGGAGGTGCCGTCGCGCTCCAACTGAAGTGGAAGGGGAGCAGAGATAACGCGTTGAGTACGGCAGCACGGGGAGTCCAAGCGACGGAAAGGACCAGCGCTTGTCGCATGTGCTACAGCGGCGCGGGTAGGGAAGGCGGGAAGCAGGAGGCGGAGGTGGGAGGCGCGAGGCGGACAAAGCTAGGCGGAAGGCGGGCGGCGGGCGTACCTTGGTGAAGAACTTTTGCGCGTGACTGCGGATCTGCACGGCTGTCTTGCTGCCGATGTGCTCTGCAACGGGCAACGCACGCACGCACACACGCTGAGATGCGGCGCCACCAGGGGCACGCGAGGGCAAGGCGAGGTCAAGTGCAAGGGCACGGCAAGGGGAAGGCAAGGGCAAGAGACGAGGGAGAAGGGAGGCAGTTGGGACGGGGCGAGGGCACGGAAGGGCTTGCCTTCGATGCGGCGCCACGCGCGGCCGTAGAGCTTGAGGGCTTCCAGGAACTTGTTGTGCTCGTCCTCCGTCCACCGCTCCCTCTGCTTCGTTATCGTGTACGGCTTCCGCACCTGCGCACCACGCACCACCGTTCCAGTTCACCCATCACCATGCAGGAGAAGTCTACGCAAGCGATTAGTAGACTGACAGGGGGCAACCATCTATGTGCACTGCCAGCGGTTGGCACCGAGAACTGAGTAGTGCATCTTTGCCTACCAAGGCACGAAAGAAATAGACGAAAGATACCTTGGTTGCGAGGTCGCCGTCGTTGCCCCCCCACTCTCCGTTTGTTGGGCCCTTGGTGGCGTCGCCTGCTTGTTGCTCTTGTTGCTGCGACCCCTGCACCTGCTGCAGCTGTGCTGGAAGGGCTTCGTGCTGCTTCTGGATCTGCGTCTCCTGCATGTGCGCCTTGTGCGCACCGCCCAGTAAAACCGAAGGAGGAGGCGGAACGGGAGTCAGGACCGCGACTTGCTGTTGTTGTTGCTGCTGCTCGTGTTGCAGCTGCAGTTGCTGCTGCTGTTGCTGTTGGGCCAGGTGGTGCGCCGCGAGATAGTTGGGGTCGGAGGCGAGCGGCAGGCCAGGAAGCATGCCGGGCTGCCCGTGCATGGCCATCTGCTGGGCGGGAAGCAGCCCCATGTGCGGCAGGGATGCCTGCGAGTGCGCGCCCAGCACCACCTGCGGTGTCGCCATGCCTGGAATCCCCGCCTGCAGTTGGTGCAGCTGGTGGTGCTGCGTCAGGCCCGCGTGCGGGTGGAGAGACGGGAAGAAGCGCGCGTGCATCGACAACGAGTTCTGCATCATCGCCGCGCCAGCGGACGCAGCAGCGGTGGCGGCGGCAGCGGAGGAGGAGAAGGCGAGGCCAGCCATGGTCCCCGCAGCGATAGCGTTCGGGGCAGGCGACCGGATGTGACCGGCGGAAGCTTGTGGCATGAGGAAATTGGGCGCATGCATGGTCATTCCCACACCACCGGGTCCCTGAGACGCCACGTGCGCGTTGCCGTGTCCATGCGGAAGGTACGACGCTGCAGCCGCGGCAGCAGCGGCTGCAGCTGCGGCTCTCCAGTACGCAGCGCTTGTGTCGGCAGCTGCTGCATCATGCATACTCTGGAAGGAGATGACATGCAGAGAACACAAAAAGAGGCAGCTAAGTTAGCGAGTGATGTATAAACATTGGCCAAATGACAGCTCTGATGTGAGTGAGCAGTCCATCCAGCTGACCAAGCGGATGTCTGACGGGACATAACGACATGCGTAGCGTCACGAGCTTCGAGAGTGAGTTTATTGAAGAACTACCTCGTCCGTCACTTCGTGCATTCGTAACCTACTTGGTTGTGCTTTCTTAGACAATAAAGATGCCTGAATATGGCTTCTTGCCAGTTCACGCAGGTTCCAAATATCCTATTGTCGACACTACTGAAAAAAACTAGATTCGCAAACTATACTTTGCTGCGTTCTAGGTCATCGAGACAAATCTTGATCCTGACAGATCTACGAGAGCTCTACGAACCTGAAGGTTGAGAGCTGGAGGTATGTTCATCGTGATAGCTCCAAAGCTTAAAATGCGATGCCGACGTAACAGTGTCTTGCAAACATCAACCTGCGCTGACTCGAAGCTACGAAACCGTCTAAGTTCTTAGGAGAAAAAACATCTCAGCGTCTAAAATCTAGGTACATATTGCATTGGAGGCTCAAAGAATCAGTAAGGCCTTGGGCGAGGAAAGCTCTCCTGTGAAGCCTTCTGTCCACAGATATTCCTGATGTTGCTGTGCCTCTGGATATTCCCGAGGAGCCTCTCTGCTGGATGAGGGGAGCAGAGCAGCAAACACAACGACTTGACAACGAAGCAGATGTGCTTGTTGCTAACGGGAGACGGGCAGTGCCAGCCACAACACTCCACAACGGCTACGATGAAGCAACAGATCACGCTTCCCGCATCTGACGGTAGATAGAGTGATCGGAGAAAAAGTGAAATATCCTCAGTGAGTCTTTAGCCGACGTGGCAACGAAGTGGGTACTTTTTCGCTTTTCTCAAACCCCAGCGTCCACAACATCCCGACCTCGAGCCGCTCGCTCCCCAAAATCAGCGAGTTCGACAATTCTGGCCACATGAAAACTTGTGGTTCAGGCGCAGTAGTCTTGCGGGAATGAGAAGTTTGGCTTGGATCACAAGGCTAAAACCGGACCTCCGTTGAACCACACAACAGTCAACGCAACCCCACGAGGAAACTCTTTGGTTGCTCTCTGTCTCCCAGCAAACCTTGTGCCAAACCTTCTTCTTATCCTCCCTAGCCTGGGTTTGGTGCAGAAGAAACTTGTGGTCAAAAAATCGTTCAGAAAAGGCTGCCATTGGCAAGGCAAGGCAACCAACTCTTTTACTGTAATGGCGGCTCGTGAAAAAGGGAAGTGTAGTGCCGGTGTCAGCGTCACTGCCACGCTGGGCCTGCTGCACGGAGCTGGCCTTATTCGGATTTGCGCTGACGTTGCACGAAGGACGAGGAGCGAGAAAGCCTTCAGCTAACAGATTTTCCGGCGCATCACAACCATACAACAAGATTTCAAGCAAACCTACTGGATGGTTTAATGGTGCGCGTCTCGAACCTTTTCACCACATGTCGACTTTTCAGTCTGAGGCAAGCTGGGCAGATGGCCCTTCCCAGATTCGCGAATCTGTAGTGAGACTCCCTCAAAATTCTTATCGCCTGTTGATAAATTTGTGGCTGGCGTGGAGCAGCCTTCAACTTCGAAGCGCCATCAAGGTGTGCTGAACCTGGCTGAGCTGGAGTGATCCATTACAGTGCGTTGTACATCAAGGAGTGTAATACCTCTCGGCTAAATCCCTCTCCAGAACAACGATGAATAGTTAAACAACTGTGGTCTGAACATGAACCTCACGTTAGGATGAGCAATTTCTCAAAATTCGACCTTAACAATCCTTTATGACAGAAACTCTACTGTATGTTATGCTCTAAACAATGGACTGGCGCAAGAGGGTCTTTGTGTAAAGATGGTTAGGAATGCAGTGCACGTATTGCTGTGTGTCGTACTGTCGAGTGTGGGCGTATTGCCGCCTTCTTCGTTGCTGCCTCCTCCCATGTCTCTCATATCCTCACTTCTTGTTGTGTACCCTTGTGTCCTCTTGTCGCTTCCGCCTCGTCTCACCTTTGCTCTTTTCACCTCCCCTATGTTTATGCCATGCCATATGTGTTCTGTACAGTATTGCTAAGAACCCAATTCAGCCCTAGCCTACTGAAGTGTGAAAGAGCTGACTTTACATGCACATACCCGTAATCGCACCCCACCGCAAAAACGTGAACTCGCGACACACCCATCCTTCGTGAACCGGTATCAGCAAGATGACTGATGAGCAAGAACACAGCTGCATGTTATAACACATTCTAACATTCCTACAAATCACAACACCAGGCTATATGCCTGTTGAATGCGTGCCCGCTAGAAGTAACCCAGTGGCGGCTCTCGTCCTAGTCATACAGGTCAACATCCTCCACATCATCCTCATCCTCGTAGTACTCTTCTTCCTCTGACATGTAATCCGAGTCCCTCGCACTCTCCTCATCATAGTCCCGGTGTCTGCCCCTCCCACTCTGTGAAAGCTTCTCTCTCGACCCCCCCTCACCCCGCCTGGACGTGTTGCTGCGGTGAGTGCCATGCTCGCCTCCTCTCGACCCCTTTGACGACTCCAGCGTGTTTATTCTCCCCAGCAGCCGCCCCTTCTGCCCCTCTGCATCCCTCCCGACCCCTCCATCCGCGTACCCATCTGCACTCGACTGGAACGTGCGTGTGCGGTTGAATTCCCTTTGCTCCGACCCCCCGCCACCACCAGCCATGGTGTTGGTGCGTTTGAACTGCTGTAGGTCCGCCCCCAGAGCCTGCTCGATGCGTGTCAGCGTGCGCGACAACTGCGCATTCGACGCCGCCGCAGCGGCAGCGCCACCACCGCTGTTGTCACACATGGTCGTACTGCGGGTGAACGCAGGCCCGCCACCACCGTCCCCCATGGTGAGGGTGCGCTGGAAGGTCGGCACGGACAGCAGCTGCGCTGCCGGCTGATCGGCAATCACAAACGTCTGCTGCCTGGCCAGGCTGATCTCCGTCTTCTTGCCCTTGCCCGTCTCCTCGTCGTCGTCGGGGCGCGCGCCGCAGTAAGCGAAGCAGGCGATGAGCAGCAGCATGAACACGGCGATGAACACGCCGAGCGCCACAAAGGCCTCCATGCGCAGGTTGTCACGCAGCAGCGTGAGCAGCCCGCCCTGGCAGTACGGGCAGCTGTAGCACAGCTGGGTCGGCTCCGCACTGAACCCGCTGCAGTTGCTCGTGCTGCGCTGCACGGCGGGTGCGGCGTCGGCGGAGGGGAGGGGCAGCTTGGGCATGGTGGGGAGGTCGAAGGCGAAGGAGTAGTACACGGGCGCTGACATGTTCAGCCCGCCCAGCACACAGCCCTGGGGGGGTAGACAGCACCCCGCCTGGTGCAGTAGAGGCGCGTTGGGGGGTGGGGAGGGAGAGAGGGGGGGGACAGAGCAGAGCAGAGGCAGAGAGGAGGGATGGGGGGCAAAGGAAGGAGTGGTAGGTGAGTGGTGAGATGAAAGCTGAGGAGAATGGTGCAGCAAATGATTGACTCTGCAGTTGGCGCGGTCGTCACGCGTGGAAACGATAGGCTGTTTCCACTGCTCCTCGCGCTCCATCCCCCACTCCCTCCCCGCAAACCCGCATTCTTCCGCTTCCCGCACCTCACCCCTTACCTCGAGCGGGGAGAGCTGCGCTTTCTTGAGGTTGCGCCCGATGTAGTTCCGCACGTCTCCGCACGTGCGCGCGCCGCTGAGGCACGAGGCGAGCGGAGCCCAGCGGTCCCCCGCGACCTGCTGCTGCATCCACGCGCTGAACTGCGCCGGCTCGAACACCGTGAACCCGCGGCTCTTCTCCGTTGATGCGCCGCCCGGCCCCGTCACCACCAGCGCGAATACTGCGCGGGGGGGAGGGGCGCGCGGAGGGGAGGGGGAAGAGGCGAATACGCGCAGGATTTGTTTCGCGCAGGTTTGGTTGCTTGCGGTTTGGAAGCCGCCTGGTTCGCATGTGGATTGAATTCAATGGAGCCGCTGTGGCGTGCGACAATGTGCGACGACAAGCGACCAGCCCGCATTTGAACTGTGGAATGTGGAACAAATTGCGACTCGAGGATAGGGGCGCGATAAGTGGAGAAATACGGGAGGGGGGAGGGAAGACGGGCCAGGGGTGGGGAAAGGAGGGCAGTGTGGGGGGGGGAGAGGTGGGGGCTCGGGGGCTGACTGGCGAAGGCGAGGAGGGCCCACATGGCGGTGAAGGAGACGGCGAGCTGCATGCACACGAGGCCCGCGTTGTCGCACACCAGCGCCAGCAGCCCCACCAGCGCGCCGATGAACAGCGCCGCGCCGATCGCCATCAGCGGCGTCTGGTACATGATCAGGCACGTGCTGGGCGGCGAGCTCCACGTGGTGTAGAGCGACACGCCGATGAGGGCGAGCGCGAGGCATAGGATGAGCGTGTTGGCGATCGCCGTCAGTAGCTTCTCCGTCCTCATCGTGACCGTCCGTCCTTTGCTCGTGCCTGATTCGCCTGAATGTCCCTCAATACGCCTCACAACTGCGCCTGTCGATGGCTATACTAGACTGCCAGCGATGGACGCCGGACCGCGAATCCCCGTGGCGCGTCCTTCTCTACAACCTCGCCAGCTGCGAGTGCCGGCTTCGGGGATCTGCTTCGTTGAATCTGAACCGTTTGTTCACCATGTGCGTCGAGTCCCACAGCGCAACAGCTGTAGACTTTTAACGATTGAGACGGTTCGATTGGCGCTACGAGCTGGTTTGGCGCTTGACCTAATCTCTCCAAACCGTTCAAATGGCGCCAAGGCGAATGCGAGTGAAAGGGCGAGTGGATATGAGCCCAAGAGAATGCGGAGTGAACGCTAGAAACAACGAGTGGGGCGGATAAGCGTGTATTATGAATGGCACGACATGGGACGAGCACGGCGTGAATGCACTCTGCTGGGAATGACGACCGCGGCGGCGGCGTCATCCCCAGCCGATTTACCTGGATGAACATCGCTCGTCGTATGCTCTCTCTTTCTCTCACATCGCTGAACATGGCGTGGCACCACCTGTGACCAGCTCGGCTCAACCCACCGTACGTCGCCCAACAACCGTCGGTTCACCAACTAGCGCGCACATGGCGCAGCACTGCAGCGGTATGAGTGCAGTAAATGCTGCGGCAGGCCCGATGATGAATTCCACTGGTGCGTGGCCGCCAGCCCTCACAGCAGGCGGCCTGAGGCATCAAGATTTCGGGTGGGCAAGCACGAGGGCAAGGGAGGGAGGGAGGAGGGAGGAAGGGCGAGCTACACGACAGGGACGCCAGGCTGGGAATCATTCGCGCTATACGATGCTGGAAAATTAGCAGTATCCCTGAACCGTTCCCATTTAGAAAACAATTGTGCCTTCCTAGCGCATATAAACATCGGCATTATTTACAGGTTAATTTGATGGCTGCAAAAGCCTCACCTACCACATTCACCCAAGCAATTGGCTAACCCAGTACAGCATAGCAGTGCACATTCACAGCAGTCTCCACACGAACCACCGCCAGTGCAGAAGCTCCCACAAGAATAATCATCCTCCTCCCTCATCTCTTCTCTCGCCTTCTCTCGTCTCTCCCTCGTCAACACAGCATGACCATACCCTCCCACAACCAGCAGCATGACCAGCAGGCAGGCAGCAGCAAGGCACACACAGCCAGCCAATGAGAGGTCGTCCCTCACCACCTTGAGGAGCGCTGCCTTGCACGTGTCACAGCTGAAACACCTCACAGCACCACCTGGGTCAGCGCTGGTGCAATCCGAGAAGGCTGTGGAATTGGCGTGAACAGCAGTGGCCAGGATGGTTGGTTGCAAATGGTTGTCAGCGTGCGATGACTTTGCCACGGAGGGTGCAGGTGGTGCTGCTGGTGCTGCTGGTGAGAGGGTGACTGATGGCGCAGGTGATGGGGCAGGTGACGGGATAGGTGCCGTGGAGAGAGCTGTGTTTGTGCTGCACGGGGCGGGGGGGAAGCAGCAGCCGCTCTGGATGACTGATGGGTTCTTCACGCCAGAGCCACCTGATGCAGCTGCAATACTGCTGCTGTTGCTGCTGCTATTGTGTATCCCTGTCATCGCCTCCCCAGCATCTCCCCAAGGAGGTGGCAGGGCAGGGCAGGAGCTGTTGGACACCAGGCATGTGCGCATGGCCTCCAACGCCTCAGGCTGCGCCACCAGCTGCTGCAGCCACGGCGAGAAGCCCGCCACGCCGTACACCGCCTGCCCTGCCGCGCCCACCATGGCGCTGGGGGACGGCGCTGTTACTGCCAGGGCGAATGCTGCAGAGGGGGGGATGGGGGTGAGGGGGCAGATGTGGGTGCAGAAGAGAGAAAGGGTGGATGGGCTTTGGGCAAACAGGCGGAATCAGACGAGCAGCCATAACCGGTTACACGGGGCAACGCACTCGGCCAGCGCTGGTGCTCACCTGAGTAGGCCAAGAGCGCGAGGGTGAGGGCGGCGGAGCAGCAGAGGAAGAGGAATTCAAGGCACCCCTCGTGCGCCAGCGCGCCGATCAGCCCAAATATGCTCGCGCTCAGCAGCACTGCGCCCATCACGTTGCTCGGCGTGTCCAACCGTTGCGCGCACGCGCTGCCACTGCCGCTGGCATTGGGAAGAGCGGAGAAAGGGGAACGGGAAAGTGAGGACCGTAGAGAATGATAGGATAAATGGGTGCGTGGAGCAGAAAACGATGTGCGTTCGTCTAGGTTTGCGCTTGAGCGCAATGGCGGAAGCGCAGAAGGGAAAGGAGCAGCAGGGGGGGAAGGTGCGCGCAGACCTGAGCGCGAGGTAGATGGCGAGCGCAATGAGGCCCATGGATATTGCCGCCGCCCCGCCCGTCGACGCCACCATGAGCGCTCTCGCTGCCTTCATCGCTGCGCGCCGAGCGTCGTTGCGTTGTCGGAAGACTAACACGTGTTCAACCGATGGCCTCGTGGTTCGATCAGAAAACGAGATGACGCTCGCGCGCAGGAGCTCGCGAACAGGGCGAGGTAGTGAGACGTGGCAGCGGAGACGCGCAGAAAGGCGAGTGGAAGGCAAGGAGGGTCGATGGGTGATGGTGACGGCCTTGGGGCGTGCGAGGCGGGCACGAGAGAGCGAGGCTTTGAACTTTCCATCTCGCCAAATCGAGGCGAGAATCCATAAAAGCTAACGGTGAACAAAATGGCGGCGGCTCATGTAGTGAGGACGACAGGAGTGGCTTGGCGGAAAGGGCGGGATGGGTGGTGCCAGGAAGGAACAGCGGGTTTGCCGTTACAGCAGGGAAGGGGATGGGTGGTGCCAGAGGTTGGGATTGGGAGCGCGGGAAACTTTTGACTTTCGCGTGACATTCTCGAGGCTTCAACGGAATAACCATATATATTTAGCGAAAGCTACAGCGAGACACATATTTGTAATAAAGCCGAGAAAGTGATATTTGACCAATACAGAGCACTCAAAATACAAGATTGACAACTACCCGGCCATCACCAGCTTGTGGAACTTGTCCAGGCACTGCAGGGCGAGGGTGAAGCGGTGGTCGTCGAGGAGCAGCACGAAGCGGCAGTAGCCGGGAATGCTCGTCCAGTCGCTGTTGTTGATCATCAGCCCCGTCGATGAGAACAAAGCCTCGGATATATTGACACTATCGAGGGTGACTGTGATAGGCTGAGGCTCTTGGTCGCCGTTGGTTGATGGCGGCTGGTATGTGAACTGCTTGCCCTCGTAAGCTGTAGGGCGTGCAACCAGGAATATTCCCCCCTCTGGACGAATGGGGTCCCAACCACAGCTTGACAGAACCTGCCGACGAAAGTTTTGGGGAGATGCAGGTGAAATGGCTGGTTGGGTGCCCACAGCAACAGTGATTGCCTCTGTGCAGGTGAGGAGTGGGATGCTCGAGGCTAAGGCAAGACAGTGCAAGAGTAGGCCATGGCGGGGCACGGCAAGAGAGAGTGCGGTGGAGAGGGTGTGCGACAAGAGGGTGTGCAGGGCCCACCTGGCAGAGCTGGTCCGCCCTCTGCTGCAGCTGCTCGCGCCGTACTGCCATCTCCCCTGCCAGCTCAGCCGCCACCTGCACTCAATGCAAGGCAGCATGGGAGGCGATGGATTGGTCAATGGCGGTGGCAGGGGGAGCTGCAAGGAGCAGTGTGGCATGGAGGTGCCATGAGCAGCCATGGGGCCAACGGCCTGTGACTTACACTGCCAGTCAATCGCATCCTTTGCTGACTCACCTCGGTGGATAGCATCCGCTTGACAGCAAAGCGCAGTGTGCGATGAGGTGGCACCGCGGTGCTGAGGGCCTCCTTGAAGGACGAATCCCAGAATGCCACGTAGGCAAACTGGATGCCCAGCGTGGACAGCTGCAGGGAAGGAGTGCACAGGAGATAGAATTGAAATGGGGAAAGGGAAATGGAGGTGGGCAGGTGCGTTGAGTTTGCGTGGTGAAGGGGAGTGCGGAGCATGTCTTGAGAGTGGAGGAGAGCCCTGGTTCACAATCAAAGCGATACGAGCTATCGGGGTGGGCAGAGGCAGCAACGGTTGTACCTGAGGCGACAGGTCCCCCATGAGCACCAGCGCATAGTGCTCGTGTGCTTTCTCCCTCTGCTCTCCCTCTCCCTCTCCCTCCCCATCCACGTCATCCCCCGTGCGGCCCAGGTAGGGTTCGAGGAGCAGGTGGGATTGAGGGTGGAAGGTGAGGGAGTGGAAGGCGGAGTCGAGGATGATCCGCGTGCCCACGCGCATGCACACGGCCAGCAGCGAGGCCAGGTGGGCGGGCGAGTAGAGCGCCCCCGTGGGGTTCACCACCGGCGCTGACAGCACCAGCCACGGCCTCGCCACCCCTGCTAGCGCTGCCTCCAGCTGCCAGCAGGGGGAGTGAATGATGGGCGGGCGAGGGGGAGGAAAGGGTATAATGAGAGGCAAAAGAGGAGCGGGAGAGAGGAAGAGAGAAGCAGAAGGAAACCAGAGATCAGGACAAGGGGGAAGGAGAGCACCCATGGCTGATGACCTGTCACAGCCCCGTGGCTAGGCACCTGGTCTGCAGTGAGTGTGAAGCGCGCTTCGGCAGAGGTGACGGGCAGCACGTTGACCTGGCAGCCACACAGGCGTGCCGCCGCCAGACACGTGCCGTACGAGCCCGCTGGGAACACTGCCGTGCCGCCCTCGGCAGCACAGGCCGCCATGAGGCGCACAAACAGCACCCGCGACCCGTCCCCTGTCACCACCGTGGTGCCCTCCGCCCTCACCCCAAACTCACGGTGCAGCAACTGGTGGGGGGGGGGAAGGGGGACGGGAGTGGAGGGGAGGAGAGAGGAAAGGGAGATGACGGGAGGTGGCAGATGGGAGCGAGGGAAGAACCAAGTGCGGAAGTGTGAAAGGAGATATGGTGGAGGGAAGGTGCGGGGGCACGCACGTGCAGGATCTCAGCACGGGGGTCGGTCTCGGCGTCACTGAGGTGTTGCCGCACGAACGCCTCCACCACGAGCGGCTGCACCACTGATGGCGCTGGCAGCGCTCCCGACCCCACGTCCATGCGCACCGTGGGGCCCGCCCCTGTCTGCGCTGCTGCTGCTGCGCTGCCGGTGGTGGCGGAGGTGGAGGAGGGGGAGGGCGAGGGGAGGGCGTGGGTGAGGGAGAGGGTGCGCAGGGTGGGGTGGTTGAAGGCGCGCGCGGCGTTGGGGTGGATGGAGATGAAGGGCGACGACGGCGGGTCGTCCTGCAGTGGCCGCTGCACTCGTGGCACGACAGGTGGGGGGAAAGGCAAGGCGGGGAAAAAGGAAATCAAAGAAGGGTTGAGTTTGAATGGGCAATGAAACGACACGATAAGACGGCAAAGAAAGATGGAAGCACAGAGAGCCCAGAACGAGTGACAAAAAGGGCCCCTGCTACCACTGCACGACAGACGCCCCTGCCCTACCTCGGCAACAGTGTGGCGGTCGGGGATCTGGAAGGAGAGGAGCTCATCGAGCAGGCAGCCGTAGTAGAGCTGCTTCATGCGCGCCACTCTGAAGTACGTCAGCTCGCCCATGCCCGCCAGCCACGCCAGCAGCGGCCGCGACTCCGCCAGCACGAAGGCCACCTCGAGGTCGCTGTACACCTGGTTGCGCACCAGCCCGCAGATCACCCCCGCGTGGGGCGGCAGCGCCTGCTCCGCCAGGTACTGTAGCACGCCGTTGCTGGGCGGCACACTGGAGAGCTCGAGGTGGTCGGAGATGTCGAAGAAGACGCACGTGTGCGTCTCCGCCGCGGCCGCCAGCAGCAGGTGCACCGCCGTGGGCGAGCGCATCTCAAAGTCGGGGAGTGCTGCGATGAGCACTGCCGGGCGCAGCGCGCGCAGCAGCTTCAGCAGCAGGTCGCTGCGCCTGGGAGCCTCCAGCACCACTGGGGTGGACTGCGGGGGGACGGGGAGTGGGGGAGAGAGGGGTGAAGGGGGGGGAGTGGGGGGAGAGAGGGGTGAAGGGGGGGGAGTGGGGGGAGAGAGGGGTGAAGGGGGGGGAGTGGGGGGAGAGAGGGGTGAAGGGGGGGGAGTGGGGGGAGAGAGGGGTGAAGGGGGGGGAGTGTGAGGGGAGTGTGAACTGGAGAAGAAGTCGGAAGGGGAAAGGGAAGGAGGGAGGGAAAGTATGGGAGTGCTGTTTTGGCAACAGCTTCTGCTCTGACTGTCGGATTCTCTCACATCCTCACTTCAAGCACACCTGCCTGATCGCACGACCTGTCCACACCGCATGTGACCTGCCCACACCGCACCTCACCTGCCCTCACCGCACGTCACCTGCCCACACCGCACCTCACCTGCCCTCACCACACGTCACCTGCCCACACCGCACGTCACCTGCCCTCACCGCACGTCACCTGCCCACACCGCACCTCACCTGCCCTCACCACACGTCACCTGCCCACACCGCACCTCACCTGCCCTCACCACACGTCACCTGCCCACACCGCACCTCACCTGCCCTCACCACACGTCACCTGCCCACACCGCACCTCACCTGCCCTCACCACACGTCACCTGCCCACCTGAGCGTGAGTGGCGGCATCTGAGGGCGGGCCATCAGGCGGGGCAGAGGCGAGCCAGGAGGGGGGGAGGTGGCGAGTGAGGGAGGCGTCAACGAGGGCGAGGCCGGGCAGGTAGAGGCGCAGAATGTTCTCCACTGCTGTGGCCCTCGTGGGCAGCACCACCACGTTCTGATGGCGGGCGAGAGAGGATGGGGGGGAAGGGGAGGAGGCGGGGGCAGAGAAAAGGGAAGGCGGGATTAGGCAAATGAGAGAGGGCAGGAACCATTGACGTGACACAATCTCTTTCAACCCATCCCCATTCCCGTACTCTTCATCCCCTCCCTTCCCCTTTCATGTTAGCTCCCTTCTCCCAGCACAACACCCCCTTCTCCCAGCACAACACCCCCTTCTCCCAGCACAACACCCCCTTCTCCCAGCACAACACCCCCTTCTCCCAGCACAACACCCCCTTCTCCCAGCACAACACCCCCTTCTCCCAGCACAACACCCCCTTCTCCCAGCACAACACCCCCTTCTCCCAGCACAACACCCCCTTCTCCCAGCACAACACCCCCTTCTCCCAGCACAACACCCCCTTCTCCCAGCACAACACCCCCTTCTCCCAGCACAACACCCCCTTCTCCCAGCACAACACCCCCTTCTCCCAGCACAACACCCCCTTCTCCCAGCACAACACCCCCTTCTCCCAGCACAACACCCCCTTCAACTGTTGTCCCACCCTCTCACCCCCTCCCCCAGGTCTCTACTCTTCCCCCTTTTCACTTGGCACGCACCTGGGCGGAGAGGGGGGCGCGGAAGTAGAGGCGGAGGAAGCCGGCGACCTGGGAGCGGAAGCGCAGCGTGCCCGCAGGGGGCTCGTCCGACGGGCACAGCGCGGGGGGCGAGGGGGTCAGGGAGGCAGAGGGCGCGGGGGCGAGGGAGGCGTGGTGCAGCGTGCGCAGCAGCGTGGCGAGGAAGGGCGTCTTCTCGTCCGCCACGGCGGTGGAGGTGAATGCGAGGTCCACTGCACTGCGCGTTGCTGCGTACTCCGGGCGCGCCAGCCACCGGAACAGCTCCTTCACCTGGTGGGCGGGCAAAGAGGGTTTTTGGGAAAGGGGAGGGGGTTGGTCACACACTGGAATAAGTCAGTGAGTGGGCAGTCAGGCATGGGATGGCATGGCATGATTGCAGCTTGAATGAGCACACAGTCATCAAATGTGTGAGATGCGCGAGATGGCAACGACATGGACCAGCACGCCACGCCCCCACGCCCCAATACCACTCACGTGGTTGGGCTGGCGCAGGCGGCACTCAAACACCGTGAGCCCGTGCGCAATCCTCCCACCCGCCTTGGCAAACGCATACGCCGTCCGCGCACTGATAGGCTCATCACCCGTGGTAGCGGCCCCCATGCCGAGCCCCATGAAGAACTCAAAGCGGTGGCGGCTCTGCCTCTCGATCTCCACCAGCGCCTGAATGTCCGTGTCCGCCGCCTGGAACACCCGCGTCTGCCACAGCTTCTGGATCTCAAACCCGCGGCGCCGGAACAGGCGCTCGCACACGGCCATGCCGGGGCGGCCGCCCATGTTCATCAGCAGCGCGCCTGCCGGCTTGAGGGCGGCGATGCTCTCCTCGACAGCACGCGCAATGAGGCCGAGGCCGAACTGGTCCTCGACGTACCCCTGCAGGCTGCAGTAGTTGGAGAGCGAGTAGAGAAACTCCTCACTCATCGTCTCCGATACTATCTTCAGCGCCGCCTTGGGGTCGGGCGTCAGCACCTGGTGGGGGGGGATAAGGTGGGATGAGGTACGGGGGAGAGGGTGAGTGGGAAAGTGAGAGAGTGGAAGTGGGGGAAGTGAGAGAGTAGGAGAAGGATTGGAAAAGGACGAACAGAGAAGAGCACAGACATGAGCACACAGCAGACAATCCAATCACCACAATGCCTCTTATGCAGTGACACACACAGCACCCACACATCCCCCCCAGCCCCTCAGCACCTGCGGGATGCAGCCGACGATGCGGTCGAGAGTGACCCCGCGCTGAGAGAGCGCCCCCAGCAGGTCGGATTCGAGGAACTCGCAGCGGTCCAGCAGCGACAGGCCCTCGCTGTCCCTCACGGGCAGCCCGTCCACTGGCGAGAGCGCGTTGAGGTACAGGTTTATCCACGCCACCTGCACCGCCCGCGGGTTGATGTCCAACCCGTACACCTGGTGGGGGGGGTGGGGGTTGAGTGGAGGAGGAAACAGGAGAGTGTGAGACGTGGGGAGGGGTGAGGAGAGGGGGAAAGGAGGGGTGAGGGTGAGTTGTGTTGGGGAAGGGAAAGAAAACAGCTGGGCGCAGGGATGATCAAGGGGACATGGATGGTGATGGGATGCGGGCCTCCTCTGCACCACCTCAAGGCTGCACCTAGGAACGCCCACTCGTCCTCCCTGCCCCACACCCACACCCCAGCCTGCACGTCCTCCCCTCCCCTTCCCTCCCACCCCCTCCATACCGCACCTTCCTGGGCGCCCAGCGGTGCGCGAGGGCGATGGAGATCCACCCGTTGCCGCACCCCAGCTCGGCGACATCGCGGCCCGTGAACCCGGCGTCGGGGTGGCGGGTGAGGCCCTCGTAGAAGGTGAAGGACCAGTCCTCGGGGATGAAGATGGACGGCAGCTCCACCAGCGCTAGCGTCTGCCGCGCTCCTCCTGCACTGCTGCTTGTGCTCTCCCCTGCGGCTCCATTGCCATTGGTGCTGGCGGCGCCAGCAGCTCCGTTTTGATGTGTCCCTGCAGGGTCGTGGTCTGAGGGGGAGGGATAGTGCGAAAGAAAGGGAATGCGGAGAGGTGAAGGGGAGTGAACAGCGCAAACTCATGGTCGCCATTTACTGTTTTTGGACCCCCCAGCCATGTGTTCCCACCCTAAACATGCTCACCACCCATTACGGCGCCACCACCCGTCTCCATGCATGGGGCATTAGGATTGAGGTGGGAAAAGCATTCACAGGCTGGGGAGTGGACAGAGCTTTCCAGCGTGGGGGAGCGGGGAGAGCGCACCAGAGTGGGGGAGCGGGGAGGCACCAGAGTGGGGGAGCGGGGAGAGCGCACCGGAGTGGGGGAGCGGGGAGAGCGCGAGCGTGTGGATGCGGAAGTTGAAGGTGCGCATCACCTCCTCCGCGGGCTCCGCTGGCATCGCCGCCTCCAGCGCCGCCAGGAACCTGCCACGCGCACCAGGCGGGTAGCGAAGCGCTAGTGAAGAGAGAGTGACTACTGAATCTGTCGTTGCCTTGCGGGACACACATCTGTCGTTGCCTTGCGGGACACACATCTGTCGTTGCCTTGCGGGACACACATCTGTCGTTGCCTTGCGGGACACACATCTGTCGTTGCCTTGCGGGACACACATTTGGTTCCAAGTTATCTGGAAGGACCCCTTGCACTTGCCTCTTCTCGCCGTGTCGCGTCACCTCATTAGCTCGCCAATAATCCGTTGAAGGCCCCACCAACCGTCCCCTTGATTTGAATTTTCAAAGCGTGATTTTTGTACTTATTGTTCATACGGCGTGCTTCCCCTAATCGTGGTTTCGCTAAACGGATTCAAGATGTCGCCTTGTGTCAGACAACGTTTCAGTAGTCACTTTTCACCACCAGCAAACGGGAACTCGCAGCCTTCCGATTACGGCTAGCATACCTTCTCGCGGCGGCTTGGGTTTCGGGATTGCGCAACGCCTTGAGGATCTCTTTGAAGTTAGAATACGCCTGCGACGACAGGGTAGCCACGGGACGCACACAGCCGCGGAGAATGAGTAACGCGGGAGGCGAAACGAGAGAGCTCGCGCAAGCTCTTAATTCAGACGACAAAGCAGCACAGGAATGGGAGCTCACCTGATTGCCGGATTCCTTGCAGCTCGCGAGGAACGAATCCACGTCATCTAGCGACACCGCCATCCTTCCCGCGCCCGCAGGCAGCACTCAAGTGGGAATTTACAGTGCAAACTTGCGTCGACTGAATCTTGAAATGCGTGCAAGCGATTGCACAAGTGAATTTTCCTATGCGCGAATGGGGATGGGGCTCGAAAACTGGATGTGGAAATGTGCGAAATTCAAGGTTGGCAGGAACAAAGCAGCAGCAGTGTGCTCTTCGAGCCCAGAAATTGGCTCGGCTGAAATGAGCCTTGGTTTGGGTTGCTCCGGGGAGGGGCTGCTTGGAGGTACCGTGCCAGCAAGCGATGTTTCGCTTCGCGCGAAGCCAACAGGGGAAAAAAATGTGGTGAGAATATGCCACCGTGCCTGCCTCGCATAGGCTTGGGGATTGGCTTGGCTCGAGAGGTTGTCCCTGCGTTTGGACAACCAACCAGCGGCTTGACACATGGCAACACCTGGGAACCACCCCGATCTGACGTGACGTGATTTTAGCATTCGTCATCAACGTTCCCAATATACGTCAGACCAGAAAATGCTGCTAAGAAGGAATGCGTGAGGTGCATAGTGCACTGAACAAGGACAAAAAATTCACTCGTGATAGTATCTGTTCTAGTAGAAAGCTAAACATAAGCGCTGTTTTTACACAAGTGGTAAATAAGGTTACATGAAAAAGTCCTCAGCATAAAATGCTACACGTTTAGCTTATGAGGTTCCAATGCTAGCTTATGAATAGACCTGCATTGTTACATAAATTGTTACAATTCATTTTTAAGGCAAACATGTGTAATAGGGACATCAGCAATCAAAACCTTTGTATGTCAAAAGCACACTCCATGGTGCTCTACATGTTGGGAGGCATGCCTAGGCTGGATGCAAGGTCCTTCATGCGTAGCTTCATGGCCTGCATAACACGCAGACAGGGTTTAGGAATGTCAAAACGAGGAAAGAGGTGATTTGATCCACATGAGGCCCTGTGGTACAGGCATATCAGCAAGGAGCAGCAAGAAAAGGGTTGAGCAAGCACGTACCGTGACACTCTTCTGATGGGCGTCCTTGTATGCCTCTGTGATCAGCTCGCCCAGCTTCTGCTTGCAGGAGGGGGAGAGGCACCACAGCAGTGACACACACGATGAGGGCCGATGATGCTCCACAGCTACTCCATCCGTGGCAGTGAATCAAGGCAGCTACATTTGCCGCAGCTACCATGCAAACATTCCAACCCATGGTGACCTTCTCCTATCCCAGCGCCCACGACTACCCTGCTCCCACGCCAGTGCTCTCACCTCTGCCCCGATCTCCATAGCAGCATCGGTGATTTCACACCGGCATGGCTCCTGGTTGCCAGTCAGCGTCACCTGCAACGCATGCACGTCAGCATTCAAGCATGGGGAGCACTCGGGAAACGGAATGAGCAGTGTGATTGGGAAATTTGCGTCACGGAACTGGAGAACGGCCCACAACATGACTGGCATGGTCGTTCGTTCACAATAAATGGGTGACGAGCTCCGAAACTGGAGCGACAGAATCTGATGGCTCACAAAATATAGGACTTCATTGGTCATTCGTTTCAAAATGCCTGAGAGGGCGGGCCAGTGCAGACGCACCTTCACGAGCTCGTCTTCGCAGTAGCCGTCGAACTCAGCCCTGCCATGGAGGGAGGACACAGAGCGAGAATGCAGCAACTTGCGGCGGATCCATGCCTACAGCACACCTCGACTGGCACACTTGTGTCTCGGACTCTCACGCTCCTATCACTTGGATAAATGTGAGGGCACAAATCACGGCGCAACACCGTAACTGCACTACGGACCATGTGAGAACAACGATGCACTACCAAAGGCTGAGTTGCGCTTGAGAGGCGCGGGGAGAGGAGGCGGGGGAGCGAGGGGGGCTTACGCGGCGAGTTCCTTCTGCACCTTGACGGCCTCCACCTGCACCACCTGCTGCGCCTTGCGCACCGTCTCGAACAGATTCGCCATGTTGCCGAACGGCCCCGCCTGCACCGCGCACGCACGCCCCACGCAAGTCAAAATGCATCCGCGGCCCTGAATCTCAGAAGCGCGCATAGCAGAAAACATGTAGCTCAGCAGTTGTTACATAGCCCTTACGTTTTTGGCGCCATCGGCGCTCAGATCGCCGTCCTTGCCGCCGCCGAAGAGAGCCCTCGCGGGACCCACCCGTTGACCTGCAACCACGGCGGGACGGCGCAGGGCGACCAACGAATATGCTCACGCAGTTTGGACATCCGCACGGCATGACGAGCAGAGTGAAGGAAACAAAAAAGCCCCCAGGATTTGCGGACATCAATGCCTAGCCTGTCCTCACGAATCCGCGACGCGACTTACCGACTCGTGACCTCACGGTTGGCTGGATGTGAACGCGAGGAGCGGCGAGAAGAGACGCTCCGGAAGAGAGTGCGATAGAGGCGGCCATGGTGGAGGTGGTGAGTGCAGGGTGACTGAAGGTGAGGCGACTAGGAGAATGAGAAAAGATCTGCGATTGCGAGAAATGAATGCAGACAATCGGTAGCAAGTGAGTTTGGATGGATCACATAGTGAATGAAGGATTCCCCAAACGAGTGCCACATCAGAAGTGAGAACACACTCCGGGACACGTGGCTTCGTATCAAGGGTTACACTTGAGGAACCCAGAAATGCGTTACAGTGTCTTCGAAACAGGGATGGGAGAGCAATTCGTCGCAGATACACGCCCAAACTTTCACAGTAAATGAAATATGCAACAATTAGTGAACCACCATTTTCACGGAAATAGATGCGCATGCGAATATAAATCTTGTAGAGGTGTAAAGACGGAAACAGTGGGTTTGCCATATCGAATATTCTAGCGGAGCGCATGCTTCCCCCAGGCCAAAGCCAACAAACATGCCGGCAACAAGGAATATCGAGAATAAATATCTGACGCCTTTCAACCAACAGGAGCCCGCGACAAATATCTGAATTGACCTTTTGGCCCCGAAAGAGAAAAAGTTGCAGGTGCACGAGAGCGGTACACGTACTGAGGCTACACGTCAGCCAACCAGAATGTCTATCGCTCATTGGTGAATTACTGGCGCGCTGCGCTGACGGAGTCACCTGTAACATCCTTCGAGGACGCGGCGGGCAGCAGATGTGGACAGCGCATGGAGCATCTCTCCATCTGATCCGTCCTCCTTGCCATTTATCTGCCCGCCGATGATGAGATACAAGGAAGTTTGAATTCTAGGGCTCCTTGGAGTTGCCGCTTGATTCAAGTTCTGAATTTCTCCGCGCTGCACCTTGCTAGACTAGGGTTTGGTGTAGGCTGGGAGGAAAAAGCATCGCCATTTCACTTTGTCGACCCGCAAGCGACGGTACTATGTGTTCGCTCCTACACGATTAAGTTGAAGGTTCTATTACGATTGATATCTTGGCGCCTGTGCATTTCATGTTGCGACCGTCGTTGAGAGTCTAAGCGCGCAGTGTCGCATTTTGATACTGTGTACCTTGATTGCGATTTGATGTTATATTATGTAGTTCCAGATTCCAATGGAAGACATTAGAGGTCTTGTGTTGGGCCAGCAGCATGGCGTGATCCCGGAAGGCCGTCAGCACCAGCAGCAACAGCAGCAGCAGCAGGCAGCGAGTATCGATGGCGTGCGACAGCTAGGGTGGCAAAACAATGAGTTAGGGCTGCTCCAGCAGCAGCAGGCTCGCATGCACCAGCAACTCTTGATTCAGCATCAGCAGCAGTGGTGGCAGCAACGACAGCAGCAGCAGTTCCTTTTGCAACAACAATCCCTGCAGTGCGAACGACAGGAATTTCAGCTCCAGCAGCTGAGATCGCAACTATGGCAGCAGCAGCAGCAGCAGCAGCAGCAGCATCAACAACAACAGCAGCAGCGGCAGCAGCAGCAGTCCCAGCAGCCACAATTGCAACACCAGCAACAGCAGCAGCAGCTTCGGCAGCAATCGCAGCAGCCACAGCAGAAGCTAGAGCAGCCGCAGCAGCAGCACCAACAGCCAGAGCAGACGGAGCAGCAAGAGCAGCAGAAGCAGCAAGAGCAGCAGGATTCATGGAAATGGCAGCAGCAGCAGCAGCAGCAACAGCAGCAGCGTGTGGAGTACAAGCAGTTTCAGGAGCAGCAGTGGCAGCAGTTGGCTCAACTGCATGAGCGGCAGCAGAAGGAGCTCTTCCAGCACCAGCAGCAGCACTCGCAGCTCCTCCAGCAGCAACAGCAGCAGCAACAACAGCAGCAGCAAAGCGTATCGGAACGTGTCGTCATGGACGGCACGCGGGCGTCACCGTCTCCTCATATGACGCTCCAGGCATCCAGTCACACTCGTTTGTCTCTCCCACAATCGCCACAGCCGCAATCGCAACAGCAGCAGCAGCAGCGGCAGCAGCAGCAGCAGCAGCAGACGCAGCAGCAGCGGCAGACGCAGCAGCAGACACAGCAGCAGCAGCAGCAACAGCAGCAGCAGCAGCAGCAGCAGCAACAGCAGCAACGGCAGCAGCAGCAGCAGCTACGCGCAGAGGATACAGCGGAGGCACAGCCCGCGCACCTCACGCTGCGCTCGCCGTTCCTTCCGTCCGCGTCCGCTCCCGCCGTCGCCCATCGGCCGCACCGTGTGTGCGACGCGTGTTCATGCCAGCCCGCGGTGCTCTACTGCGCCGCGGACGACGCGTACGTCTGCGAGCCCTGCGACGTCTTCGTGCACTCCGCCAATCCGCTCTCGCAGCGCCATGAGCGCGTGCGCTTGGGCCCCAACGGCGCGCCGCTTAAGATAGATCGCAGAGGCGCGGGGTTGTCTTCCGATGCGGCCGGCAGTCTTCCGCGCGCCGTTGCGGGGAGAGTGCTGCGCGGAGAGTTGGCGCAGAGCCTGCTTCCGCGCGCAGACGAGTCTGGAGTTCGGGGCGCGGCGGCGACGTGCAGTGACGCGGAGGAGGGTGTGGCGGGGAGCGTGGCGGGGCCGACGGCGGGCGCGATCGGCGCGGAGAGCGCGCAGAGCGGACTGCCCTCCAGCATGTCCGGCACGAGCTCGTCGTCGCACCCGCCCGACCCCCGCTGCCCCTCCCGCGCGCACCGCCCGCCCGACACCAACTGCACAGCTCAAGGCGGGGTTGCTGTCGCGCGCGCGGGTGACGCGAGGAGGGGAGCAGGTAGAGGGGGGAGAGCGGCGGATGAGGTGGACGTTGCAGGGGGGAGCGCGGGGGGCAGGCTGCAAGGGGCGAGTGCAGGCGGGGTGGCGTGCAGCGTGTTGCGGTGGAAGGTGCGGGAGGGCGCCGCCGCCATGCATGCGCCGCAGGACCACCACCCGCAGCAGCAGCAGTCCACGCCGCAGAGCAGACCGGCCGCGTCACCTGCACCTGCGCATGACGCAGCGCCCAAGGCAACAGCTGGCTCTGTGCGCCTATCACCAGCGTCCACGTGGTCGTTTGCCCCCTCTCCACGTCACACCAACGAGTCCCTGCAGGGTGCCTCGCCGTGGGCCAAGGCCGCAGCCGGCGCGGCGCATTCCCCCCTCTCCGCGCCCGCGGGGTTGTGCGCCAAATCACATCTGCTGCGCGCGCCCGCGAGCCCGTTCACTCCCCCCAGCCCCTATGCAGGCTGCCTGCTCTCGCTGCCCGGCGCGCCAGGCGGGAAGGCGCACGCGCCTCGATCTCTCCAGTCGCCCCGCACTGCTCCTCCTGCACCCGCATCCGCACCCGCACCCGCTCCCGCACCCGCTCCCGCACCCGCATCCGCATCCGCGGCCGGCGGACGGGGCGTGGAAGCACGCGACGGGCGAGACACGGCGAGGGGTGCCGTGCGGGCGGGAGGAGAGGCGAGGGGAGCGGAGGAGGTGCAGGGGGGCGGGGGGAGGGAGGAGAGGGAAGGAGGCGCGGAGATAGCGGCGGGATGGATGGACGAGCGGGTGGCGCAGGTGTGCGGGGAGGAGGAGGCGGGGGAGGCGGGGCGACTGGGCAGCAGCAGCGGGTTCGAGGAGTTCGAGGACATGATGAGCGGCATGGGGGGCGCGGAGGGCGCGGCGGGCATGGCGGGCATGGCGGGGCTGGACGACATCGACGAGGACGACCAGTTCGCGCGCGACCTCGCGCTCTGCATGACCCCGCGCGCGGCCCCGCCGCCCTCCGCCACACCTCCCGCCGCTTGCCCCCCGTCGTCCCCTCTCCTGGCGAGGCTGCAAACTGCATCTGCGGCGCAGCAGGCCCATCCCAACCATGCCAGCTACTTCACCCCCCCGTCTGCCACTTCAGCCGCCGCTGCCTCTGGCGCTGGCGCTTCCCCATGCGGCGAGTCCCCCCACGCGTCAGTGGCGGCGGCAGCGGTGCAGCCCGCGGCGGCGGTCCATGCGTCGCGCACCCACGCGCTGCCCCCTGACGGCCCCGGGCTGCCCGCGCGCCCCGCGAAGCGACAGCACCTGCGGGGACTGGGGTTTGGTTGGGCAGCAGGTTTGGTTGCAGGCTCAGGTGCAGGTATGAGTGTAGGTGCACAGGGAGGGGAGGGAGCTGGGAGTGCAGCGGGAGCGACAGGCGGGGTGAGAAGCACAGCAGAGGGGGGAGGGCTGGCCAGTATTGCGGAAGGCGGGGGGGCGGGCGTGGAGGCGGGAGGAGGAGGTGGGGTGAAGCGTGAGGCATGGGTGGGCATGGGTCCAGTGGCAGCACGACAGGGCGTGCAGGGCGTGGGGATGGCGGGCATGCGTGGGCACGCACAGCAGCACATGCACCTTCCCATGCACCCCCAGGGCCTGTCACCCTGCGCATCGCTGGACCGCTGCAACCCTGCGTCCCCCACCGCCGCTGCTGCGAGCATGTCCGTCAGCCACGCCCCTGCCAGCAGCTTCCTCAGCTCCTCCGCTGCTGCTGCTGGCAGCGCCGTGGCATCCGCAGCAGCGCTGTCAGATTCCGCCATGGACGCGCGCGCCCCCGCCTCTGCCTCCGCCTCCGCGTCCGCCACCCACTCACACTCCCACTCGCTCTCGCTCTCCGATGGCCAGCAGCACCACCAGGGGCACGCGCAACCCCTGCAGCAGCGCACGGCAGCAGGGGGTGGGAGCCCGGCGGAGAGAGCTGCAGAGCGGTGGGAGGGCAGTGAGGGCAGGAGGGCGCGGGAGTGGAATGGGAAGGTGGGTGCGTGCGGGGGTGAAGCCAGGGGGCGGTCATCAGGGGAGGCGGAGGGGGGCGTGGAGGAGGCGGAGGAGGTGGTGATGGAGGAGGGCGCCGTGGAGGCTCAGCTCAAGGGCGTCGCCTCGCACCTCACCCTGCTCGCCGCACACCCTCACTGCCCTCCCGCACACCAACCCCAGGGGGAGAACGTGCGGGGCAGCAAGGAGGGTGCGGACAGGCGTGCAGCAGCGATGCGAGGCGTGCTGGGTAGTTTGGGGGAGAGGGGTGCGGGCGGGCGGTGGTGTCCGGCGCTGCACCTCAACTATGCTGACATCATCACTGCCTGGTCGCATAACGGCCTCCAGGCATCGCCCTGGCTGGACGACACCCCCCCCTCGCTCGCCCTCCACGCGCAGCCCTCTGTGTGCTCCGACCCCCAGGTCCGTTCCCTTCCCTGCACCCCTGCTGCTTCCCACCTGCTTCTCTCCTGCTGCTTGTTGCAGCAGACCATATGAGTTGTCATGTGTTTACTCTGCTTACCAGCAGTCACGCCCCATCCTCATTGTGACCTCACGCTGTGTCTCCCCACGCCCCTTTCACTCTGCCCGCCTCCCCCCTCCCAGCCACTGCAGGCGGCCATGACCCCACACTCGGTGATCAGCACGGGGCGAGAGGAGGGACCGGAGGGCGAGGTGGGCGAGTCGGGGGTGAGTCGTGTGGCGTCGGTGCCGCACGGGCTGGACCGCGTGTGCAGCGACCTGCTGCTCGAGGACGGGCACCTGGACGGGCACATTGACGGGCAGGTGGAGGGGCAGGTGGAGGGGTACGTGGAGGGGCGGGAGGCGCGGGTGCTGCGGTACCGGGAGAAGCGGCGCAACCGGCTCTTCTCCAAGACCATCCGCTACCAAGTGCGCAAAGTCAACGCCGACCGCCGCCCGCGCGTCAAGGTGTGCTCTTGGGGGAGGAGATGGGATTTGAAGGCTGTTGCGGTTTTCTTTCATGGCTTCTGTTAGATTTGGAAGGTCACTCTTGGCCAACTAATGTCCTTTCTCTCACCTCCCCCCTTTCCATGCAGGGACGATTTGTGAAGCGAGACTTGTGAATGCACGTTGCTTTGTAGGGCCCTGTTATCCCACTGCCTATGGGTTCTTATTGCTACTTTGTGGTTGTGTCATACTTGGGTTTGTGTCTACTAGACTGGATTGAGCTTTTGATGTGTTTGTTTGGATTTACATAACATTGTAAATTATGCTTGATTTACTAGGGAGTGCAGTACGGTAGCGCGAAAGAACCCGCCACATCTGCCGTGTCCACCAGCGGTCACGAATGAGTCACCAACTCTCCGCGTCGGTGGGGTGGGAGTGAGCGAGGAACGGGGGACAAGTGCACGATGGAACACGGCACAGCGCCGTGCACCTCCTGCCACAACACAACACCGCATCGCGATTAATGACCTACTAGTTGAACCATCATCGCTCGTGACCTGTTGTTCGAGCTTTCAGCGCCACGCCGTGACTGCGTCTGTGAGCGCGTGAGCCTTCACCATGCTGCTGCGGGGAGGGCGTCAGGCCTTGTCGATTAGTTCTCAAGCCGGCCCTTCAAGCCAGCCCGCTGCGCATCACGACTGACCGTCGCTGCCCTCTGCACGACGAGCCTCGTCGCATTGGTCGCACTCTCGCCGTCGTCGCATAGTCTCCCTCGTTGCATCGCGTGCCTCGTCGTTTGTCGCGCGGCGGCGGCATGGCGGAGTTCAACATGAGCGCGTGCGTGGCGGCGTGCGCGTCGCTACAGCCGTGCCTCGACACCTGCTACGTCTACAACGGCTGGCTCGCACCGCCCTCGCTGTCGCAAACCATCGCATTCTCCGTCGCAGGTGCGTCGCCAGCGTGCGTGGATCGCGAGCACGCGACGTCTGCCCGGCCGTCGGCCGTCCGCCAGTGTTGTCGTGTGCCTCTCGTGTCTCCAACTCCCCTCCGCCATTCCCCCCACACCCCCCTCTCCCTCCCCAACCCCCTGCCCCTCGGTGTGGCGGTACGGCAGGCGGGGCGGGTGTGGGGGTGGCGGCGCTGGTGGCGTGTGTCATGGCCAGCACGCTCGCGCTCGACCTGCCCTCGCTGCAGGTAAGCCTTGCTGCAGGTGCGCCATTCCCACTCCATTTCTGCCCTGCTGCCGGCGCACCTCCGTGCCTCTTCCTGCCTGCTCCCTTTCCAACACATTCTCCTCTCCGCGCCTCTCTCTGCGCCCCTCTCTCCGCGCCCCCCCACGTGCAGGCGCTGGCAGCGAGCGCGGACAAGGCTGAGCGCAGAAAGGTGCGCCCCATCCGCCCTCGCTGCTCCTTCCGCTTCCTTGTGCCGCCCATCACATCCCTCATCGTCCCCCATTGGCCTCTCTTGCTTGCTTTGCTGCTCGGCATGCATGTCCCCGTGTCCTACCCTGTCACTCCTCTCTCTCACCACCTGTCTACTGCCCTCGCGCCTCTCACTCCTCGCCCCGCGGGGCCCATGGACGGGTGGATGGCAGGCGAGGGCGGTGCTGCGGGTGAGGCGCCATGGCAACCTGCTGCTGGCGGCGCTGCTGCTCGCCAGCTGCCTCGCCTCCACCGTCGCTGCCGCTGCCTTCACCGGTAAGCCCTCCCCCCTTACCCCCCCCGCCACTGCTCTGAGCATCCCCCTCCTGCCAGAAGGTGCTGAGGCGCTGCGATGAGCGCGCCCCTCCCTGGAGCTGCTGGGAATGCCGCCCTGGGCTGCATGGCTTCTCACACCCACCGTACTGCACGTGGGCGCATCCCTCCCATCACAGCATGCCTCTCACTCCTTTGCTCCCTACCATTCTTCCCCACGGGCCTGTGTGGGCATGGCATGGCGGGGCGTGCAGAGGTGTTGGGCGTGTGGTGGGGGTGGCTGTGCGCCTTCTCGCTGCTCTTCCTCGCCGTTGAGCTCCTGCCGCCCGCCCTCTGCACCAACCGGTATGCCCCTCCTCCTTGCACTCGTTCAACCTCACTTCTCTTCTCACACTCGCTACTCGCCACTCGCCCCTCCCATGCGCTCGCTCATACGAGCCACGTCAGCAGCTGAGAGTTACGCCTCCTCCCAACTCCCACACCCCTCTTCATCCCCTCCTTCCCCCTTTATCCGTTGCTCCCACCTCCCCTTCCCCCTCCACCTCCTCCACCTCTCGCTCCCCCCCCGCCCCCCAGGAGTCTGCAGGTGGCGGGGGCGACGGCGTGGGTGGGGGGCGTGGCGGTGGTGGCGCTGTTCCCCCTGGCGTGGCCCGTGGGGCTGCTGCTCGACTGCCTCGTCTCGCGCTCCGCCCTCTCCCCCGCTCACGATGACGGCCCCGTGGTCAGTCGGGGGTGCAGGGGGGGTGATGGAGGGAGGACGGAGGTTAGGGGGAAGGATGGGGGAGGATGGGAGCCATGGGGTAGGGGGCATGGGTTGGGTTAGGGGGAGCGGGATGGGGGCATGGGATGGATACGGCCATGCACGCACAATGCTTGCTGCAACCACCACTCACCTCGTGTCTCCTCCCCTCTCCCCCCTTCCTCGCGCTGCTGCGTGACCGACCCTCTTCCCCGCGCCTTGATCTCCCAGAAGTGCCGCTTGGCGCCCGACCCTCTGCAACAGGGGGAGCAGGAGCAGGAGCAGGAGGGTGAGGGTGATGCATGCAAGCCGTTCGCTGCACGTGCTGGCAAAGGGGGTTGCGAGGAGGAGTGGAGTGATGAGGAGGAGTGGGGCGGGGGGAAGGAATGGAAAACAAGAGAGGAGGAAGGGGAGGTAGGAGAGGGAGGGTGGGAGGAGGAAGAGAGGGATGGAGGCGGCGACAAGGAGGCGTGCAGGCGTGGGGCGCGGGGACCCGAGGGGGGTGGGCAGCAAGGGGAGGGCGGGGTAGCATTGTACGGTGGGAGCGTGATGGAGAGTGGGGGGGGCGAGGGGAGCAGCGAGGGTGCAGCGGTGCAGATGGCGGTGCTGCCCTCGTCCTCGCATGCTGCAATGCCGCCACCACCTCCCCTCTCTCACGCCCATGCCACCCAGCACGCTGCCTCCTCCTACCCCACCCTTGCCTCCAACCCCCTCCCCCCCACATGCCGCACCCCCCCTGCTGGCTCTCCCCATGCGCCGCAGTCGCCCCCAGCGCCTCCCCCGTGGTTCCTGCAATCGTGGGAGCATGCGGCCGTATGGGCACGCCTTGCCGCCGTGCCTCCCACGCCTGCCGCCCCCACCTCACACCCACACCCCGCTGATGCTGCCCGTGCGCTTGACCCACCTGACTCGAGCGTGCGGGCAGGGAGTGGGGGGGGGAGAGCGCACGTTGCAGCAGTCAGAGATTACCACGCCACCCCGTCTGCCGCCCCTTCCACCGCCCCCCCAGCTGCCACCCTGCCAGGTGGCGTGCCGCCTCTCCCCCTGTCCTCCTCCACTCCCCTGTGGCGCCACCGACCCCCCCTGCCTGCTGCTGCTGCCTCTTCTTCCGGGCAACCCATGCCCCCCACTGACTCTAGTGCATCGGCTGATGCCCTCCGCCCCCCTCACTGACATCAATCTATTGAGCCCTGCCCCGCTCACTGACATGGATGGCATTCTCCACCACCTCCACCACCTCCACTAACCTGGCCACACCCTCAAGCAAGCACCTGCTGGGAGCACCTGATGCAAGCAGCAAGCACGCAGCAAGCACCAAGCAAGCACATGAAGCTTTTAGTTGAACTAACACGCAGGCAGCAGTTTCTTTAGCGTTGCGTTGTGAGTGCCCACTGGTACTCGCTGGTATTGCCATAGCACCATGCAATGCAACAGTCAAGCTGCCATGCATGTATAATAATCAACAATATTTTCTTTGCTGGCGTTTTTAATCAGGCCTATGATTCCTCAAGTTGGCAATGTGCACAAGATTGCTTCAACTCAACGCAAGATAAGATGTCGTATGAGATTGCCACATTGCAAGACATGAGTGGAGCATGCTGAAAGAACAATTCCATCTCTCTGGTCCTGCTGCAGGCGCTGTCCAGGGTGCCAACCAAAACCCCCACGCTCCAGCAGCATGTCCATGTGGCCTCAGCACCACCAAAAGCCATGCCAGGGGAGCAACAAAGCGTGTCAGAGATGGGGTTTGAACCCATGCCTCTTTCGAGACCGCAACTTGAGTGCGGCGCCTTAGACCACTCGGCCACTCTGACACGTCAGAACAGAAAAACATGTATACTATATTAGTCTCAAATCACAGCTAACGACGCGTGATCACGTCACTGGCGCAGCCATGGATAACCCCGAGCAGCGCGAGGCAAAGGCGGAGGATCAGGCAGCACAGCCACACGAGTCGTACTATCAGCAGCAACAGCATTATGGCCATGACGCTCACTCGTACGATCACCAACAGTACCACCAACACTACCAGCAGCAGCAGGCGCAAGCGGCGCAGGCGCACTACTACGGGTACGACCCGAGTCACGCGCAGCATCACGCGCCCCCCCATTACCCGCACCACCAACCCCCTCACCACCCTTACGCTTATCCTCCCCAACCCTACCCTCCCTCCGTTTACAACCAACCAAATCCCTACCAGCCACCTCCCCAGCCCGCCTATCCACCCGCTCAGGACTCCGCCTTCCCCGCAAATTCCCCGCTTGCCGCCTTCTTCGATCCGCGCGAGCCTCCGCCAGCCGCGGTGGCGGCCCCGGCGAGCGAGGAGGTGCGCGGGCGCGTGGAAAAGGCCGTCGAGTACGCCGCGAAGAACGGGCCGCAGTTCGAGGCGCTCATGCGCGACAAGCAGCGCGGCCAACCCGCGTACGCCTTCCTCGAGGCGGGCGGGGAGGGCGCGGACTACTATCGCTTCCGCCTCTGGTGCGCGCTCTCTGGGTCGGGGGGCGCGGATGCGGTGGCTTGGACGGAGGGGAAGAGTGCAGCTGATGGGCAGGCGGAGCAAGCCGTGGGGAAGCAGGGGGAGGCGGACGGGGAGCACGGCAGCGCGGAAGTGAAGGTAGAGGGGGAGCAGGAGGGGGAGAAACAAGCAGTAGGGGGCGCGCCGGGCGCGCAGCAGGCGCAGACCGGCTCTGAGGCCCCTCCTGCGGTCCCTCTCCCCTCCGATTCCACCCCTCCCCTTCCCCCGGAGCCCCCGCTCCCCCCCATGCCCCCACCCCCCGCGGACCCTGCTGACGTGGCGCTGCAGGCGGCGGTGGCGGCGGCGGGGCTGCCGGCGGACGTGGGGGGCGAGGCGGTGGCGCTGCTGGCGGGGCTGAGCGGCACCAAGGAGGCCATCAAGGGCGGCAAGGCGTGGGTGGCGTGGCGCGCGGGCATGGGGTGGGCGCCGCACATCGCGTGGGTGCTGCGGGAGCGCATGGCGGCCCTGGCAGGGAAGCCGGAGCGGCAGCTGCATGTGATCTACCTCGTCAACGACGTGCTCTTCAACAGGTGTGTGGTCAACGACGTGCTCTTCAACAGGTGTGTGGTCAACGACGTGCTCTTCAACAGGTGTGTGGTCAACGACGTGCTCTTCAACAGGTGTGTGGTCAACGACGTGCTCTTCAACAGGTGTGCCCCGCCTCGCCTCCCCTCCCCTCGCTGTCCCGTCTCACCGCACTCTCCACCTCACTCTCTCCACCTCACTCTCTCCACCTCACTCTCTCCACCTCACTCTCTCCACCTCACTCTCCCCACCTCACTCTCCCCACCCCCCACCAACCCCCCCTCGGACCGGGCAGTCTACAGCAGAGGCCACAGCCGGGGGCGGTGGACGCGGTGGCGGCGGCGCTGCAGCCGTGTTTGGGCTTCATGCTGGCGGCGCTGTTCCACGGGGGGGGTGACGCGCAGAGCAGCAACCAGGAGCGGCTGGGGAAGATCCTGGCGTTCTGGGCCAGCAAGGAGGTGTACCCCGGGGAGGCCATGGCGCACCTGGGCGCGCTCATGCGCCTGCCGCCCCACCAGCACCCCCCCATGCCGCCCCCGCCACCTGTGCCTGCTATGGACTACCACGCTGCAGGCGAGTGGAGAGCGTGTGCTGTAGGGAAGTGGCTGGCATGTGTGCGTTCTGGAAGTGGGAGCGGGAGTGAGTTGTTGGGCATGTGTGATCCAAGCTCTTTCTGGCTTGCACCCACATATTTCCCTGCTCTCTTTCGCTTTACTGACATTGTGCCCCCTTTCCTGTGCTCCTCTTCCCCTCTCCCACCCCCCATGCACTGCCATACCCATCAGCCGCACAGCCGTATGCCCATGGCATGCACCCCCACGCCCCTCCCCCGCCCACATGGCCCCCTCTTCCACCTCACATGCCGCCCATGCCTCACGATGCAGCAGCCCCTGCCTCTGCACCCGTGCCCGTCACCCCCCCTTCCTTCCCTCCGCCCCCTGCCCCCGCCACTCAACCCCCACACCAACCCTCGCCCGCGCCAGTCCCCAGCGCCCCCCCTGAGCCGCAGCCCCCCGCCTCAGACGCGCCGCCTGCAGCCCCCGCGCCCACGCCTGCAGAGAAGGCGCCGTACCCGCTGTTCCCGCCGGGGCTGATCCCGGGCATGGTGCGCAAGAAGCAGGTGGGGTCGGGCGTGCCGTACGCGCCCATGGCGCCGCACGACATCCCCTCCACCATCCCCCCGCCCCACGAGTCCGAGGAGTACCTGCGGCGCCGCATCGCACGCTTCTTCAAGGCCATTGGGGAGACGGACCCCCTGGCGGAGGGGGATGAGGACGAGGAGGAGGATGCGGAGGAGGCGGATGGCGGCCGGGGGATTCTTGGGGCGGGCATTGGGAAGAGAGGGCACGGGCATGGAGGGCATGGGGTGGGTGGCGGGGGGAAAAGGGGCCCAGGGGCGAAGCCACGCGCCATGTCACCGCCACCAGCGATTGGCATGGAGGGGGGCGGGCTGGGACTGGGCATGGGCGGGGGAGGGCTGGGACTGGGCATGGGGGGAGCGGGGATTGGAGTGGGCATGGAGGTGGATCCGGAGACTGGCATGTTGCCGGACGGCAGTGTGGTGCAGAAGCCTGGCATGGGCGGCGCGAGGCTGGGACTGGGTGCCGCCGTGGAGGCCGATGCTCCGTCGCAGTATGCCGACGTGTATTCGAGTTTCCGCCGCATGCTCAGCTCGTCCTACCACACCTCCATTAGTGAGCGGGCTGCTAGGAAATACGAGAGATAGCAGCACGTAGTGTATAATGATGTGAGATTGATAGCAGGATGTAAGCGCTGGAAATACTCATATTGACAATCTATGTTACATGCGTGATTTTGAAGCGGCGATGATAGTGTAAGGAATTTCGCTAATTCCTTACTGAGGCATCTCTTACGCGTACAATTTTAACTTTCGGAATTCAGGCTCGGTCCGACGACCTCGCCTTCCGAACGTCTCCCGCGTCGCCTTCGGGTTTTCCAACCCCAAACCTGCACCCAACCTTCGCGCGACTCCGCGACCTCGGCCTAGCTAGCTGTGCTATATTATGCGTAGGCCTCGTTGTTTGCTCAGTAGTTGTAATCACTTCCGCGATATTGCATTCTGCGCACTCTTCTTTCATACAACTCATAACACTTGGTATCAGAGCTACTTTCCTAGGTTACCCTCCACTTTCCGGGGTAGTTTTAGTGCAGGGGTGCGATAGGTTTGGTGGGCTGCAAAGCGTTCGGCTGAGAGATAGATACGATTATCTCGCTCCGACTAATAGCGTTTGCGCCTTCATCAAAACCATAAAAATCGCTGTTAACCCGCTGCCCGCTAGGATGAGTCTCCGAAATATGACGCAAGCAGAGTTTGACGCGTTCTTGCAGGACTTTCGGGCGATGCAATCCAACATGCAGACTATGTCTGGCGAGTTGGATCGCCTGAGGGAGGAAAACGCCGAGCTACGCCAGACGCGAGGTGAAGCGCGTCAGGAGTCGCCCGCCGTGGATGAAGCAAGTAGCAGCTTCGCACCTAACGACGAGGTCCTTAGCGAGCTACAGAACTCGCTGGACGCTGAAGATGAGTGGACGGCACGGATGCAACAGGCACAAGAGACGCAGGAGCAACAGTCACAGCCGCAGCAACAGACACGAGCGGCGCCGAGGCAACAGTCGCAGTCTACGCCACGACTGGCAACAGCGACAACCCCGGTGATGGCTTCGGTGGCGCCCCCGATGCATGCAGCAGCAACAGTCTCAACAACTGTTAAAATAAAACCGACAAACCCGCCCCCGTTCAACCCCAGCGACAAAACCGTTACTGTGTCGGCATGGTTGTTCGGTGTGGAGGTATTTTTCAATGCTGCGCAAATTGCTGACGATGCTACCCGCATTAATTTTGCAGTGTCACTGTTACGAGGGCCGGCGTTGGAGTGGTGGAAGCGGACTCTTCAGACAGGGGGGACTCCGGCAGGGATGTCACGTGCGAACGACGGGACCTGGACAACTGTCACGCAACAGGCAACTTCAATCTTCGGAGTGGCCACGATACGCACATGGACAGAGTGGGGCGCCGCGCTGCGAACCAGATTCGAGAAAGTATCCGCCTCGGATTCTGCTCGCATGAAGCTGAGCACCTGGAAGCAGGTGGCGTCGGTCCAAGATTACACGGCAACATTCTGCAATTTGGCTGACCAAGTGGACGATATGAGCGACGCGGAGCGACTCGACCGATATGTCGCAGGCCTCAAGTACGAAGTACAGTACGAGGTGCGACGGGCGAGGCCACGCGGTTTTCTTGATGCCGTCCAGGTGGCTGAATCAACGGATGCGCTGATGCAATGGGCGAGAATGAGTTCCCGGGAGGGCACTCAATTTCGTGGACCGCCGCGCCAGCCCACAATCAACGGGGTGGATGCACCGAGACGTGGACCTAACACGTGCTTCAACTGCAACCAACCGGGCCACTGGAGGAAGGACTGCCCGAAGCTGAAACAGGGAAACAGGAACGACGGAGAGGGGTCGGGAAAAGAGACGAGTCAGTAGCAGTCGGGCCACCTACTGACGAGACCCCGTCGCCCGGCAATCAACATCCACACCGAGTAGTGGTACCGATACGGGCTATCGACCGCAACCGGACGAATAAGGTGGATGAACACGTGGATCACCCTGTGCTGGTCGTGGGGAGGGTTAACGGGCATAAAATAAAATTATTCGTTGACGGTGGGGCGAGCCACAGTCTCGTCAACCTGGCAACGGCCAAAAAAATTGGGGTTAAGCTGGACAGGTGTCTGCCCGAGATTGACGTGCGTCTGGCCTGAGGCGAGGAGTACGTGAAGCCGAAGCGCTGAAGGACCTGCTGCACCATGTGTGACTGAGTCAGGGTAATGGTGCGGCGTGCTCTGTCCCGGGTGATCTGCAAGCCAAGGTAGCTGCGCAGTTCACCCAGGTCTGTGCACGTGTGTCTCTTCTGCAGCTCGGACTTCACGTAGGCGAGTCCAGCAGTGTCAGCTGTGGCAAAGACCAAGTCGTCGACGTACACGAGGATGTAGAACGGCGGCAGAGAGGTGTCGGTGCGTAGAAACAGCGACGGATCGGCAGTAGAAGGAGCAAACCCAAGAGCCGCAAGTGTAGTCCTCAGTGTGTCGTGCCACTCACGTGGCGCCTGGCGGAGACCGTAGACTGGACGCCGGAGACTCCACTGGGTACCAGAAGGGAAAGACCCAGTGAAGCCAGGTGGGCGACGCAGCCAGATCTCCTCGTGCAGGCTGCCCTGCAAGAAAGCTGTGCTGAAGTCAAGAGAGTGCAGCTCGTAGTCACGGTGAGCAGCAACGTGCAGCAGTACCCGAAGAGTGGTCATCTTCGGGGTGGGGGAGAAGGTCTGAAAGTAGTCAACTCCCTGCCGCTGACTGAAGCCACGAGCCACGTAACGCGCCTTGAAGACAGGCGGAGAACCCGGCGGCCGCTTCACCCTGAAGATCCACATGCCACTGACGATGTTCGCCCCAGGAGGGGGGACAGCGTCAACGTAGGTGCCTGTGGACTTCCAGGAAGCCATCTCTGCATCCATAGCTGCCTGCCACTGAGAGGAGTAGGGACCCTCTATCGCCTCCGCGTAAGAGCGCGGAGTCGGGATGTCAAGTGCATCCGGGTCTCCCTCAGGGGTAAGCAGTACGGACACGAGATGAGGTGAGGCAGCTGCCAGACACTGGAACTCCTCCTGCCTGTCCTCAAGGACGTCCGTGCCAAGGGCACACTCACCCCCGACGGACGGAGGACAGACAGCCTCAGACTCAGCGACAAGACTAGCAGCGTAGTCTAAGCGACAGCGAGCAGCAAAGTCGACGAGCTCAGTAACTAGAGCAGACGCAGCAGTAGACTCGAAAGAAGGGTCAGTGACAACAGTAGCAAGGAGACGCGTGACAGTAGGACTGGCAGCACGAAGAGAGTCCGACTCCGGGTCGGCAAGAGCAGGAAGAGAGGACTCAGGAGGAGAAGGCAAAGGGGCACGCAGAGGAGCAGTGGACGGACGCAGAGACATCCGGTGCGTGCCAGGGACAGGAGGAGGACGCTGACGCGAACCGCGACCACTAGTGCGAGCAGCACGGACAGGCGACGCAGGGCGAGACGCAGGCTCACGACGCTCAGCCAGACCTCCAGTAGGACTAGTGTAGGGAGAAGGAGCAGGCAAAGGGGAGGTAGGCTGCAACTGTAGCTGGGACGAGACAGGCTGTGGACACTCTAAGGGAGGAGGAGGACCAGTAGAAGGTGGAAGACCAAGAACCTGCTGCAGGAGTGGCACGAAGTACGGTCGAGGCCGCGCGGCGACGCTAGAAGCAGCAGGGACAGCACCAGAACCCTCAGCAGGAGCACCCGCTCCAGCAGCACCACCAGTAGCTCCAGAACCTCCAGCAGCACCAGGAGCACCCCCAGTAGGACTGCCAGCGGTAGTCTCAGCGCCAGCACCCTCAGCAGCACCAGCTCCAGTGCACCCAGGACGAGCACCTCTGGGACCCGCGACCGCAGCACCCTCAGCAGTCGAAGGACCTCCAGCACCAGCAGCACGCCTCCAGCGCCGGGCAAACCACTCACGCAGCTCCTGTGGAGAAAGTGGCTCCCGGCGAGACGAAGCACTCGGAGAACCTCCAGGCGGAGCACCTCCAGGCTCAGCACCCCCAGGCGTAGCACCCCTAGGCTCAGCACCCCCAGACGTAGCACCCCTAGGCTCAGCACCCCCAGGCTCAGCACCCCTAGGCTCAGCACCCCCAGGCTCAGCACCCCCAGGCTCAGCACCCCTAGGCTCAGCACCCCCAGGCTCAGCACCCCTAGGCTCAGCACCCCCAGACGTAGCACCCCCAGGCCCAGCACCCCTAGGCTCCGCACCCCCAGGTACAGCACCCTCAGCCTCAGCACCCTCAGCAGCACCAGAGTCACCAGTGACCTCGACAGGCTCGACTGCGTCTACCTGGGACACACCTGAAGGGGCAGGACCCTGAGGGGGGAGGGGGTCTACCTTGGGGGGACCTGGTACCAGGAAGAGTGGGGGTGGGGGGAGGGACGGAGTGCGGTAGGGGAAGAGGCGGTAGTAGGGGACCGACTCGTCAAACGTGACGTCCTGGGAGGACAGAACACGGCAAGAGGTGGGGTGGTAAAACTGCCACCCAGGCGCGTCAGGGGGGAACCCCAGGAAGACGCAAGGAGCAGCACGAGGGGATAGTTTGTCCGCAGACAGGTCGCGGACAAACGCCCGAGATCCCCAGACCCGGAACGCCGACGCATCGCCAACCTTCCCCGTCCACAGCAAGGCTGGGGAGGTCTCCGGCCTGGAGACCCTGGGGTGGAGGTTGATCCGATGCGCCGCGTACCTCACCGCAAACGGCCACAGAAAATGGGGGGCAGCCGCATGCATCATAGACGTACGAGCGACGTCCATGACCATGCCAATGCGGCGCTCAGCAATCCCATTTTGCTGCGGTGAGTCCGGAAGCGTGAAGGTCTGACGGATGCCCCGTGCACGACAGTAGGCACGCAGAAGGCCAGAGGAGAACTCTCCGCCTCTGTCCGAGTGCAGACGCAGAACAGGAAAGTCCGAGCCGAAGCTCTGCCTGAGCTGGAGACGAGCTGCGCGGATCCAGTCGATCAGCACCTCAGTGACATCACCCTTGCTGCGCAAGGGGAAGACTGTGGTGTAACGCGAGTAGTCGTCAACAACGAGCAGGAAGTAGCGCTCGTGACCCTGTCCACGGACGCGGGCTGGGCCCCACA